ATGTGTGCCATATTGATGCTTGTACCTAAATATACATAAGTTGCAATCTTCTTACTATTCGATTCTGCTTATACTGATGGCCTACATGAATATATTTCAAAGATAGGTCGAATTTTTTAACATTTAATGTTCTGAAATATAATATTTCATGTTACAAACTAACTCAAGCTTCGTACATTAAATCACCAATAGATTATGGATAACGAAATTATCTAACGAAATCCTGTATCGTTTCATATGAATTATTACTGCATATGTGTATTAAATGCACTGAGCGTTAATAAATTTTCAAGTTATTTTAATTATTTGAATCATAAAATTGCCCACGGCGAGGCAAATGGTCCGAAAGGCATATAATTTGTTGTTGGATTCACCTAAAATTATAAATCATGAGATGAACATTGATGTAGCATATTATTTTACTACACGATGATAACCTCTTGTTTCCCCCTTTTAAGCAAGCCTCACCTAAGTTTTTTTTAAAGAATTAGTTTATTAAAAGGTGTACATACGAAAGGATTTGATCGTCGAGAAGAAGAAGAAATGTGGCGTGGAAGAGTCCAAGTTACGTATTTTGAATTACACGTACATACTTTTTGACGAAATGATAATATTATGTACATCGTTCGCATATGACTTAACATTGATTGACCAAGCAGTGCAATGCATAATACCTTCGTCTTCACACACCTTAAGAATAAACACGCCACGTTGTTATCGTTATCATCAGGTTTGAAATACCGGCCGGTTTTATATACATACATAAATATCTTCTTCTTCTTTACCCACCCAGCCAACCGCAATCCTCAACTCTTCCCCGGCTTGCTAAACTGAAAGTAAAAGTAAAGTAGGATTCAAGTGCAGGAATCCAAGGTGAGTCTCGATCTGCCATCGTTTCAATGGAGGTTTCCCAGCGTATGCGATCCGATTTTGAGCAAAGTAGTGGCAATTGATGACAGATTTAATTAGTATGCAATTTGCGAAAGACACAACCTCCAAATGATCACGTTTGGCAGAGATATTTGCATCCGAAGAGGAGAAAATGTGCCTTAAAGTCGACAAATTTTACACTTTTCAAATTTTATGCGCGTTTTCTCCTCTTCGGATGCAAATATCTCTGCAAAACGTTACCATTGGGAGATCATGTCTTTCGCAAATTTCATACTAACTAAATTTGTGACCGATTGACACTAGTTTGCTCAAAATCGGAGGGTATACGCTGAGAGACCTCCATTGCCAGTCTCGTCGGGGAGGTAGGTTTGTACATAATATGTAATGTACATAGTCTTCTGCAGTTTATTATCACTACCACCTACCTCCAAATGTGGTCGTGCATGGTGGTTGGTTTGGTAATAAAACAGATTTGGAAATTTGCAAGGGAAATGGCACTACGAAAATGTGAGGAAACCATTTAAAAAACAAATCGACCCCATGAAATGAATGGAATCTCGTATTTATTTCCGCCAATGAATGAATGAATGACATGACGTCAATAATTCGGGGAAATTATGGCTACCTTTTCAGAATTATTTCTCGTAATATGAAACTCTTCCCCAGACCAGACCAGACCAAAGATCAAACATAATCATTAATTTTTAGAGAATGGCATCAAGTAACAAAGTGTAATCGTTATAGTTCTCTCTCTCTCCATTAAATCGGATTGTGGGGCTGAACTTGAGAATTTCTTCCTCTCATCCTCACTCCTCAGTCAGTCATGAATTCGTGTTATATAAGTAAGAAGAATGGGAAAAACGTAAAAAATCGACACATTTATCTCCTCTCATCTGGATACGTGCAGAACAGAGCATCTTTCTCTCTCGGACAGAAAAAATATGAGAAATGAAATGAAACTGCATAAGCACCATGAGTTGGCTGATCTGATATCATGAGACGTTTCAGTTACGTACTAATTTTTTTATTCTTCTTCTTCTTCTTTAAGAGAATGCAGTGCAGGGTAGACTGACTTAACTGTATCAAAATGAGTGATGTACAACAATGTTGATCAGAGAGTGAGGATTTATATGCTTTATATAATGAGCCGTTCCGCCGTGATCGATCTGGGATGATGCGATTGAGGGAGTAGTTCACAGACGAAAACCATTTTAGAACATTTTTTCTTGTCTTATATAACATGAACACACCTTTATTATACCGAGTTGGTAATGAATTGGGTGGAGGTGGAGGTGGATGAAGATGAAATGCCGAAGTGGCCGCGGAAGCGTGGGGACAGAGGGGAAATGACCCCATAATCTGCTCGAGTGTTACCTCTCTCCTACAGTGTTAATGTCCCCACATGTCCCCACGGCTTCCGCGGCCACTGGATGCTTGGCATATTGATCAGCAGTCCGTTTAAATATGCGTCTCAGTGTTCAAAATCCTTTTAAAATGTTTCATCGTGACTTAGATTTGATCAGTTTTTTTCCTCCATCCAACTCCCAACTGGGGAACATTGATTTTTATTATTTGATTGTTCACTTGATTGGCAGTGAAAAGAATGGCATGATGACGTCGGACGGATATAAATGTATGTGCTTGGTCAATCAATGGACGTGGTCTTCGTCTTGCACAGGTAGAAAATTCATGATGCGCTGTTGTGTTGATACAAGATTTAACCTTTGATCTTTATACAAAAAATGGAGTGTATTCCCCTTAAAATCTGGGTACAAAAAGTTGTAAATTATGTATTTTCTCATTTGCAAAACTGGATGAAGTTTATCTAAATGCTGAATCTATTAATTGTAGGAAAGGAGGAAAAGTGCATTTCGAGCTCGAAGTTTGGCCAATTTCAAAAGTGAACTTTTTTGTATGACTGACTAACTAACTGACACGTAATAATTTAACGCTTTAAACCAGTATGTAACAGTTGCCACGCCATGAAACATAAGTTATCAAATTTATTAAAAACATCTTTAACCATTCCGACTAGCCGAATTTCGTACATATTTTCACTCCTTGTTAAATATGTTTTGTGTGACTAACTTCCATCATGAAACTCAAAACGTTTACATTTGTCACCACTTTAATTTATAAATCTATATTATAAGCTGGAAATGTCTTTCCAAGGAATTCGTCCTCAACGGAAGTGAAAGTGGAGAAAGTTAAGTTTCGAATGGCGCGAAAATTCAAAATAAATTAAATTCGAAAAATTAAATGCCAGAACGTGTGGTACTCTTTGTGGGCGTATTTATCTGGGGGTGGTGGTTATCTGGGGGTGGGTCGTTATCTGGGGGTGGGTCGTTATCTGGGGGTGGCGGTTATTTGGGGGTGGTGGTTATCTGGGGATGGATGGTTATCAGGGGGTGGTGGTTATCTAGGGATGGCGGTTATCTGGGGGTGGATGGTTATCAGGGGGTGGTGGTTATCTGGGGGTGGGTGGTTATCTGGGGGTGGGTGGTTATCTGGGGGTGGTGGTTATCTAGGGATGGCGGTTATTTGGGGGTGGGCAGTTATCTGGGGGTGGGGGTTATTTGGGGGTAGGGTTATGTGGGGGTGGTGGTTATCTGGGGGTGGTGGTTATCTGTGGGTGGGGGTTATTTGAGGGTGGGTGGTTATCTAGGGATGGCGGTTATCTGGGGGTGGGGGTTATTTGGGGGTGGGTATTTATCTGGGGGTGGCGGTTATCTGGGGGTGTTGGTTATCTGAGGGTGGTGGTTATCTGTGGGTGTAGGTTATTTCGGGGTGGGCGGTTATCTGGGGGTGGGTGGCTATGTACCCCCAGATAGGAGGGGTAGTCAGGTAACAAGATTCGATTCGAACGTTCATGTCATGAACTGTTTGTGTTTAGTGTGCACATGTTTGCACTAAACAAGATCGTCGTCTCATGTCGTGAACTGTTTGTGTTTAGTGTGCACATGTTTGCACTAAACAAGATTGAAAGTGGTTATCGGGGTATGGCTGCTGCATGGTGGTTATCGGGGTGTGGCTGCCAGGTGGTGGTTATCGGGGTATGGCTGCCTGGTGGTGGTTATCGGGGTATGGCTGCTGCATGGTGGTTATCGGAGTGTGGTTGCCTGGTGGTGGTTATCGGGGTGTGGCGGCCTGGTGGTGGTTATCGGAGCGTGGTGGCCTGGTAGCGGTTATGTTGGGAGTAATTATCTGATTTTGGTTATCTTGGGGGCTATCTGGTGGTGGTTATCAGGCTGTGGCTGCCTCACGGTGGTAATCTGGGAGTAATTATTTGATTGATTGTCGTTTGGGTGTGGTTGCCAATGCAGATCATTGCCAATGGCGGACTAGGCTGGTAAAGATGGCAGAGCCAAGTGAGTGCCAGACAAACTGTCAGTGGCACTGCCATTGCCAATGGCAGACTAGGCTGGTAGATATGACAGACTGGGATGGCAGAGATGACAGAGCCAAGTGGGTGACATTTAATTGTCAACTTTAACTTGCGTTGCAAATTGCTTTCACTTCCGTTCGCGTCAAATTGTTTTTTTTAAAAATAAGTATATACAAAATATTTAACTGGTGAAATTTTGATAATCTAATCATCTCTCGCCTGGCGGGAGACGGGCTTATACGCTAGTTATTAAATAAATTAAAAATATTTATGTATGCATCTTTAACCATTCTGTCGAGCCGAATTTCATATATACATATTTTCACTCCTTATTAAATTACCGTCGTTTCTAGACTTCTCTGTAAACAAGGACCCGAAGAAACGAACCTCATTTACAAAAACGTCAAGATGAAAGGAGAGGATTTGCTATTTGACTCGAGATAAACAAGGCATGAAACCCAGCAGAATTTGTGTGTGAGAAACAATTAACTGAGTTAATGACACCACACACACACCGAGCACATAAGTACAATTACATACATACATAAATACACTGGTGCCGAGCAGAACCTAATTATCTCACAAGTATTGCATTACCGACAGATCGACGTGCCAACACGTTTTAAAAAATTATTTCATTTGCTTTGTGGTACTCTGCCAATAATTCGCTCTAGGAAATGCATACATACACATCTTGATAACAGATAGAAACACAATACATAAATACATTTCAAGCAGAATTTTATTTAAACAAATACTAACTATTCCGGTCGTTTTTGTGCAGCCCGAATCAGGGCTTATGGAACCGTCATGTCTGTTTGTCTGTCCGTCGGTCTATCGATTACACCCGTAAAACTTTTCCAATCGACTTGAAATGGCACATAGAACATGCAAAATTAAGAGTCATGTTGGAAGATGAGCAAAATCTATCGACAAATAAAAAAATATACCCACCTCAATTCTTACAACAACCTGGCTCGGGCTAAATTAGGCTGCATTGTGATTCTTTTTGTACGCAAAACTTTGTTTGTACACAAGTAAAGCCTTCTCTTTTTGCACTCCACGGATGAATCTCGGCTTGCATAAAGTTATTCTTCTTCTGTTCCGTCCGTTCCGTTCCAATCCATGATGTCCAATTGTTCGCGGAATAGCGAGTGGGTGGCTGGGCAAAAAATTACGTACAATAGAAAAGCTGAATGGGAACATGCAGTCGAGAACAAATCTGACATTTATGTATTCACTCGGTCGTAATAAGTCTTTTGATTTTATTGGAGGAGAAAAAATTTTTGGATGGGTGGATGGTCCCTCGTTCGTGCGAATGTTTTAGGCCGGGTTTAGGCCAAGTTTGCAAAATTCGGGGAGTTGGGTTGCCATCTAAAAGTGGTTGGTTTTGTGTTAAAGGTGCCCTTGGCATTGGTTTGGTTCTCCACTTCCATACTTTCCATTTCTACTAAAAGCTACGCAAACGCTGGCAAATCTAGTTAGTCGGGCTTGGTTGGTGGGGTGGAATGGATGCTACACGGCCATAGTCTTACCTGCTATTGCTGGCTATATGTACGAGCAAAAAATAGGATTTTGTTGCTAATGTTGTATGAACATGAAGTATGCGGCTTAAACTGCAGGAGATTTTTCATCATCGCCGTATTAACGTGTCCAATGTGCATAAGAATGATGTGTAATTTCTGTTTTCAGTACATTCTCCGGCCAAATTTGGCTTTTAGTTCGGGAATGGAAATCTGTAATGGTGATTTGCAAACTAGTATGTGCTGCATAGTATGCAGCTTAGCAGATTTTTCATCATCGCCGTACTAACGTGAACAATAAACATAAGAATAACACATAATTTCTGTTGTTCTCGTCTAAAATTTGCCTTTTAGTTCGGTAATGAAAACCTGTAGATGCTGTTTACATGTAAAAACGCGAGAATTTGCGTATTTTTTATTCAATACTTATGTCATTTCATGTTAATTCAATCATTGAATTTCATAAGAATCCCCTTTACATTCGGTCACATTTAGCCAGATATTGTCATCTGTTTAGACATGATTTTTTCCCTTAAACTTGTAAACATTTGGAAACATTCGACGCCACAATTTGGAAAATCTCATCTCTGAACAAGAATTCATAATGGAAGGAATTTGAGACTGCTTGGGATTTTGAGTTGATCGAAGTGACGCCATCTGGGCGAGTGTTGCTCCACTACAATTTCATGAACAAAGACATTGTGATCACAAAACTGGACAAGTTGAGCCGTGTTTTGAGCAGTGACAGCTAAAATTGAGCAGTCAAGAAGGCAGTCAAAAACCACGACGTCCCCCATTCATCACGAAATCGTCAGCCGTGTCGGAGCACTTTTCACTTTTCTCGACTTCTAGTCCTGTTTACTTGTTAAAAATAAGTTTCCGACTTGTTTTTCTTACCTAAATCTTGGAAATTGTAAGTAAAGCTTTGTCTTCTTATTAATTTTTGGTCGGGTGGTCAATTAATTTGTGTTTTTTTTTAAATCTCTTAATTATTATTGACTTTTAATTATATTAAGTTGAACTCAGGTTTGTAAAAATGGAACGATCTCGCTCTCGTGGTTCGAGACGCGAGGGTTCGAAACGGCCCTTTACCCTTGGGCCTGGTGGGGGCGGAGCGGCTCAAAGATTCCTCGAGACTTTGCACTCCCAAACCGGGATGGACATGTTTTCTCTAGCATTGGAGAATTTGGAGTATGACAAGGAGGCCGAAGAGGTCAAGTCCCTCGTGAAGGTTATCACGGACCAGGTTGGAAAGATTCCGTGTGTGGAAAACGAGCCAGCTGCTGATGGGGATCCTCTGCCGTCAACATCAAGGTAAAACAATCACATTTTCGTTTTACTTTAAATAGGAGTTTGTTAATTAATTAATTAATTAGAAACGAGCTCGCTGCTGCTGCACTTGCGCCGGCGAAAACTCTTCCTCCAGCAGACCCACCTACAACGCCAGCATCTTTCGCAGCCGCGCCCACAGCGCAATCTTCTGCAGCCGCTCGCACAAAAATGCTACCTTCGGCTGTGACTGCTGTTGCTGCTCAACGTCTCCCACCGAAATTAACGTGAAATACTCACATTTTAATTTTTTTCTATATACCAGTTTGCCGAGTAATGCCAATAATTAATTAATTAATTAATTAGAAACGAGCTTGCTGCTGCTGCTGCACTTGAACGGCGCAAGTTGTCACAGGCACAAGTTGCACCGGTGACAAATCCCCCAGCAGACCCGTCCGCAGCGCAAAAATCTTCTGCAGCCGCGCCCACAAAAATGCTACCTTCTGCCGTGCCTGCTCCTGCTGCTGCTGAACCTCTGCCATCAACGTCAAGGTACGACAATCACATTTTTTAACTTTAAATACCAGTTTTTCCATTAACGTCTTTAATTAATTAATTAGAAACGAGCCCGCTCCTGCTAAACCTGTACCGTCGACATCAAGGTAAGATAACCACATTTTAATTTTACTAGTTAGTCAGCAATGTCGTTAATTAAATTAAAGCACGTAAATAATAGTCCATCATCGTCACAATTATATATCAAAACTTTCTCTCACATTTTTATTACATGATAATCATAATTATAATCATCAAAGTAAAAGTTTGGGTAACATTTATCCACATAACTGACCTATTTTTTATACCTTAAAATACATACATACAAAGTAGAGTACAATGCTTAATTTATCTAGCTTTCAAAAAATGACTCGTTTCTTTTTTATAAAAATTTACTCATTTTTCTCATCCTCCAAACTGGAAGAAGGTTCCGGTGTCGTGGTCGTTGTCGTCGTCGCTGTGGTCGTGGTAGACGGTGGCGACGTGTCCTCCACTTTTTCCTTCAACGTCGTTGGAACCGGTTTCTCCAACTGTTTTCTTCCTTTCTTTATCTTTGGGAGAAGGCCGAGTTCCAATTGTTTTTTCAACCAGAGATCCACCCCCGGACCGTGATAGTCCTCAGGAAATGAAGGTTTGGGGGGCTTTATGTAACGGTAGAGGCGTTCATTTAACACGTACAATTGTTGGGCTTGGATGCAATCCACTAAAAGAATTAAAAATTCAGCTTTTAGTCAAGTTCCGGTAACGTAGGACTCGATGACTTGTCATCAAAATCGCGAAAATCAGCACATTTTAAAGAATTTTTCGGCTCTGGGAATTTATTTTAAAATTTTGGGCGACAAATTTGTAGTCCGTGAGTTGAATAATAGAATGGGGGTAAGTTTTTGAAGCCAGTTTCGATGAGTTCCAATTTTTCATAAGGCTTCTTAAATTTAAGATTTCCTTTAAAAACTGTCGAATCTGGTTCAGAATTTTAAAATAAATTCCCACAGTCGAGAAATGCTTAAAAATTTGCTGATTTTGGCGATTGGTCATCGTTAAGTTGTTACATATATTTACCATTAAACCACCAATCACACGTGAGTAAAACCTGAAAATAGTAAAAAAAAAATCTTAGAAAATTTCTTTCATATTTCGAAACATGACAATAATTTTTACTTGTGAGAAGAGCGTCCCATTCGGACAAAGGAAGGAAGAATGACCGTCAGCAAAGTCGCAGTAGTGCCACACCTGTGGAAAGGTCAAAATCAAGAGTTACACAATAATCAATCAAACAATACGGCATCATCTGGTGGATTATGTTGGGACATTTGTGCATCAATGAAATTTTAGGCGATGCTCTCATGCAGGGAATGAAACAATGATCCCATTGTTATCATGTTAGACTACTTTGTTAAACGAGTTAAGCTCTTATCGTGTCCTTTGTACTTCCTTATTTGTGTCGTGTACAAATAATGGGACGAGAATAATTTGGACAACATTGAATTGAATTAAAATTATACGAGTGACCAAAACAGTGTCGTTAATGAGGGTCACTTCACTTTATTATTTCATGGTTGAGCTAGCTAAGAAGTTGTCACAAAAAAGAGGACGTGATTTCAGCTTTGTGTGTCCACTCCACCCTAAAGACACAGATTTGTGACAAGTCGAAGTGACATTATTGTTGCAGTGGAGATGCATCAAGTCGTACATATTTTTTAGGAGGATGTACTAACAATGGAGGTGTCCCAGCGTATGCTCTTCGAATTTGAGCAAATTCGTGTCACAAATTTAATTCATGAAATTTGCAAAAGACACGATCTCCCAATGTATATATTTGCATCCGAAAAGAAGAAAACGCGCAGCAAATTAGGAAAGTGTAAAATTTATCAAATTTATATCGCGTGCATTTTACAAATTTTTATACGAATCAAATTTGTGTTCGATTAACACAAGTTTCGCCAAAATATTAGAGCCTGCGCTGGGTGAGCTCCACTGTTAGCGAATATTTGACTAACCTGACACTTGCTCTCAATATCTGCAAAGAACCCTTTATAACGTTGTTTAGCACAGTCAAACCCTGTGACGGGGATTTCATCAAAGATTGGATAGTCAACTCCAGGCATGCCGGGAATGTTGGTTGTGTCCTTGTCGGAACCACTCGAAGGGGTTGTAGTGGGCATGTATAGGTCCATTTTCGGCGTGGTTGTTGTCGCCATTGTGACATCTGCAAGAATTTTGCCATCCTTGTGAACAAAGGTGTCATCGTCAGGAATCAGGTTAATATTTGACGATTTGGACGCTGCCAGTATCGCGATCGATTCTGCCGTGGCGACGTCACTCTGTGATTTTTCGTCAGATTTTACTTGGGGACTAAAGTAGTATTCCGACTGGTTCCTGGAGGACATCGTGGTGGTAGGAAAATTCAAAAAGTTTGCCGTGGCGGTAGGGGTCGTCGTACTCGTGGTGGTTGCCGTACTCATCGGAAACGTCACTAACGACGAGCCATCAAAGTAGTTAAAGTTATCGAGGTCATTATTATTCTCGACGCGGGTCCATTGCTTCGCCTTTTCCTCGAGGGGCGGTTGCGGAAAGGTAGCTTTGACCGGAAGTGGTTGCGACTTTGTCGAGTAACTCGGCGGCTCGTAGTAAAAGCTGTTGTACAAATTCGCCACGGAGGCGGAGACATCGCGGGGTTTCGTTTTTACAAAATATTTGCTATGGTCAGAATCGAAATCGAGATCTGCCACGTTTTCGAGGTCTTCCTCCGAAAAGAATTCGTACGGATTGAGGAAGTTGTGCTTCGGAGGTTTGATCGTGGTTGTGGTGATGGACTTGAAATCGGGGAAGCGATAATCCCGCAGGGCTGGGATGGTGTAGTTGTCGTTGATTTCGTTCAAATAGACGGGCGGTGGGGTAGGTGGGGGCGGGATGTAGGTTGGGGCTTGGACCGAATCGTCGCTATTGGTTTGCGTGTGATGTTGGAGAAATTCGTTCCACAAGGAACTCTGCGTGTCTGGGAGGGCGTACGGTTTCAAATGCTCGGAAGGTTGGGGGTGCAAATATTCCGATTTTTGGGGCTGCTTGGACTTATCAAAGTCCAAGTAGTAGTGGTACGGATAGTAGTCGTGGTCGTGGTCATCCTCCACGACATTCTGCAGTTCAGGTTCAAATACTTTGTCAGACTTTTCATTGCTGATTTCTCTCTCCTCTTCAGAAGAGGGGAAATCATGGGTAGTAGTGGTAGTAGAAGAGGAGGTGGTGGTGGTGGTGGGTGTGGTTGTGGTCGCTGCGGGGGAGGAGATTCGTCTCTGAATCACGCCAGATTGACCGTTCGACCGGAGAAAGACGCGAGGTTGGGAGCGGACCGAGGTAAAAATGGGAGAAGACGAGGAGGGATCCTCCTCAAAAGGGGTGGGTTGCGTGGGGGGATTTGAGGACGGGGGTGCGATTGTTCTGGGGGCGCGATATCTGTCATACATAAAGCAAATTGCCATTAGTATAATTAGTAGCTTGATGAGACTAGAGTATTTTTCATGAATGGCCAAAATAAAGTATTTTGATCTTTTTTCCCAGGGTTTGGGTTTACAGTACTGGTACACTCACAAAAGTCGAGAATTTACATGGAGAAGGCAGCAATTAACTTTTTATCGCGGTCAAACTACTTTCTTTCTAAAAAATCATGAAAATAAAGTATTTTGACGGTGAAAATTTCTTCGCAAAACCTGTATTTTTTTTTACTGGTCCCTTCTTGACGTAGATTCTTGTCTTTTTGTGTAACAGCTCCGGAAATCCAAATACATTTTGTCCATCCCTGGATGGACATGGACTTTGGCATTTTTACCTGTACAAATACGAAATTGGGCTGGCAGACTCCAACCTGAGCAGTCTTTTACTCTCTTCGAGGTCGAATACTGTCGTGGGGGTGCTCGGGCTAGAACTAATCCTACCGAGCTGATGCCCCCCACGAATTGCCCCACGAACTCGTCGCCTTCCCCCATTTTCCAGCCTGGGCGAAAGTGCATCTGCTGAGAGGAGGATGACCGCAAGAAACGTCACTGCCCAGACGACGCTTTTACCACTATTCACGCCAACACCGACGCGCTTCTGTTTTGGCGAAATGGTCGTCGTCGTCATCATCATCGTCGCACTTCTTTCTGACGGCGATCTTCCTCCTCCTCTCGTAAATGATGACGAAACTTTGTAGCTTTTCTTGGCAGGCGGCTCATCGAAACCTGTCGTAAAGATGTCATCATTTCAAATCAGTGCAACTTATCAAAGACAAATAAATACATATTTGCATTTTACAAATACATAGTGCATATTGCAACATGTAAATAAGTAAGTTTAGCTGTGCAGCAACCCATTTAAAATTAGCATTCCTCACATTATTGTGGGTGGGTAGGAACAACACAACACAACGTAACGTAATCTCTCTCGGACGAGGACCTCCATGTAAGGCCAAGCAGTATTACATTTCACTTTCTGCCATTAATCTGATTTATTGCAGTACAAATATCCAATCGAGAGTTACTCACGTTACATTACGAGTCGGCACATTAACAATTTAAATTTCAGTTTTAATTACGCCAATGCAACCTCTCTGCCTTTTTAGCTATTTGTAACGTGTAACATTATTTATTTTGGATTGGATTGACTTTTTTGACCAAATATCTTGCATTATCTTAATTACGGGACCATCCTTACTTATTTACTTATCGAGGTATAATGGGTCGTTAAAAAATCGCATTTATTTACAAAGTATCACAAGGAGGAAGAAAAATCTGCATGTTGCATTTCTTTATTTTCACGTCCGCCTATCTCTCTCTTGATTGATTGAATTCATGATGTTGCGCTGCATTGCATTAGCATTTTGTTTTCGTCCTCTTTCATTAAAAATATTTTGAATTTTCATCAACTATTGCACTTAATAATCAATTCCTGATTGGAAATTCAATACCCATAATTCTGTGATATATAATCTCATGACAAGAATTTGTGTCCCTACAAAACGACGACCACGACGATGAAAATATTTTGAATTTTCATCAACTATTGGATTGCACTTAACAAACAATAATTAATTTTGCATTTTACTTATTCCTGATTGGAAATACAATACCCAACAATTCCTTGATACATAATCTCTCTCTTGACGAAAATCTATGTCCCTACGACGAACTTGGGAACTTTTCTTTTATCAATTTCCTTGGCCTAATCGATTCGATTGGATCAGTCAGCCAGTCAGTCACAGAGAGAATTCAATTAATTCACTCGGTAAGACACCGTAGCGCACCAATTGATGAAATGGAATAAAATGTTGCATTGACATAAATTCATCGAACGGATCGCATGCACCGCGATGCAGATATTGTTGTAAATTACTTATTGAATTGAAGCAGCGATTGATTGATATGCATCCACCTGTCCAACTTTGGGATTCAATTGAATGAATAATTATTAATTTATTCATCAATTAGTTGCTTAATTGTGCCCTTATCGTCGTGGTGGTGGTAGTGTCCAATTTTAACTTGGTATGGATATCTGTAAACTAAAAAAGTTGTTCGATTCCCTGCCGTCACTTCTGTTTGGGATTATTTATCGTACAAAAATATCGTGACTTGTCGTCCCTTGTCAGTGTCAGAAAAGACTAGTCATCAAGAATCATCTTCTCGTAAATAAAAATAAATAACAACCAGCAATGAAATCGAGTCGATTGCACGATGCACTTTTTGTAAAAACAAACTTTGTATTAGGATCTCGAAAATTGGAGGGTTGACTAATTTGGTAAATTTTGTGTAAAAATTTCTTAGCTAGCTGTCCGAAATTTGGCCCAGATACATAATATTTGCGATGCAATTTTATGAAAAAAACAAACTTTATGATAGTTCCAAACTTGACCAATTTTAAAATTCTCTGTAAAAATTTGTGTATTTAGATAGTTGTTCAAAATTTGGCCCAGATAGGTATTTGCGATGCATTTTTATCAAAACAACCTTTAAATTATGATACTTCCAAACTTGACCAATTTGCAAAATTCTCTGTAAAAATAACTGCCCAAAATCTGGCCCAGATATTTATTATTTGTTTCTTGAGGCCTCATTATTCTGATTCTATGATTTGATCTGACAGATTATCGTTCTGATAGGATTCAGTTTAGCTGCAATTTTTGCATAATGCGACTTTGTTTTTAAAATTCTAATCAGAATATTAGTTAGCAATGTCATACATACGAATAAAAAGCGCAGCACCCAACACACCCTGTCCCGTTTAAATTGGTTCACACACCACCACACGCCACACAAAATGTCACGATCAGCCCTTGTTTAATATTATACACTTGGCAAATCGTCATGATGTGATGATGACAACGTAAACCTTTCACCAATTCGCAATACAGAAGCATTTTATTTCTAGCTCTATCTAATAAAATAATAGGTATTTGCACGTATGCAGTTTGTTCATCTCATCCTGCGCTGGGTGTTAGCTAAGTGTACATTGCTTACATTTTATTGAACTCTGACTTAGTTTTGGGTCAAGGATTCAATTGTGTGCGATGCGATTCATGAATGATGAACCAGTTTCATGCAACAATTTGCGAGGAACGTGTCCCGAAAATTATTTATCAGCGAAAGAAAGATGATCATATTACGTAGGACGACTTATTTTGCAATAATACGAAGATGATAGGATATTCTTCGGACATCTGCCTGCCAATCTTTCGTCTCCTTAATTCGAAATCAAACTGATAACAATAATAATCCATCTGTGAACATTATGCCGACAAAAAAATGACAGGACAAATGAGCACCTAAGTACATACCTCATCCTCAAAATCTTCCCAACAAAGGGCAACAATAATAAATACAGAAAGTGCTTTTGTGGAAAAATTATATTGCAAAATCTTAATAAAATGCTAAGAGATGAATTTAGCAGGGGAATATGTATGTACATACAAATGCGATGTTAGAGCTCATCTCTCGTCATCATCGTTTATTTATCAATCAAAGAATGAGAAGAGACCTCAATTGAAATTTAAGCGTTGTGATCTTAAAATAAAAGTTGGTTGGTTGTCCTGCCTGCCTGCCGCCTGTCCCATTTTTTATGATTTATCTTCAGCGTGTAATATTTAACTCTCTTTTTCATTGCATAACAATTTATGTGTGATGTTTCTTTTGAAGAAAGAAAAAAAACTGCTTTATATCTGACAAAAATGTAAGTTTTTTTGTGCACTTACTGATAAATACAGAGGGAAAAAGTGCAAAGAAAAAAAGAAATAGCCGATTTTAAAATGACGAGAGAGACATTTCAAAATTTTGTTAACAGAGTTGTTTTGTGACATTTTTATTCCTTGTAAAAAAGAATTAAGAGGTGCGAATTGTCCACATTTCGACAAGAACTTTGCTTTCATTTCAATTGTAAACTTTTGTCTGTTATTGACCAACAATAAAAAGGTGTAAATTTTTCTACGTAGACACGATGTGTGGACACGAATGCTCACATTTAGCGATTTTTAGGAGACCATTGCATGATGTCCACTTTTAAATGATTTTTACTCTGAATTTCGTAATAATTTTATAATTTCGTAATTTCCCTTAATTTTTGATTGATTTTTAGAAATTATTAAAGCGCAAGGTTTCCTTCGTTGGAATCAATCAATTTAATTTCATATTTCCATTCATTCATACTTTGCACAGGAAGCAATTTCTTGGACTTTCTTATACTGATGCTCTATTTACTACGTCAAAAAATGAATACATAATGCAAAAAAAATCCGTATAAAAGATTTCATCTTGTAACCAACTTTATTCGCATTTCGCATTGAAATTGTACCTCAAAGGTCCCATTATTATTTTCAGGTTGCATTATTAACCGCAATGATTTTTAATATAATATACATAATCAGAATTTTGAGTTTTTTATGCAAAAAATTTTTCCTTGTAAAGAATATTTTTCTAAATGGATGTGATTTTATCTTTTGCCGACTTGTGATCCCTTCATAACACGAGTCTCTCTGCTTGTTAACAAGTTTTGTCTAGATACCTATAATACTTTTCCTTATCTGCAACGACGATCTTCTGTGGGATATGATCTAATCTACTTTTAAGGAAAGACACAACCTTAACGCTTTTTATTATCCTCTTTTTCCATCTGCTTGTTAGGAACAAGACAAAATTTGACGTGTGTAATTGTAATGAGAGCATGGGTTAGGACATTTTTTTGCAAGATTAACAACGTGTGTGTACCGTAACCGGAATGCATGTGTACAGTAAAAGGTTACATACGTGTCTTTATTATAGTTATCCTGCAATTTTACAAATTCGCGTCTGTCGACAACATATCAAAACGAAAGAAAGATATCCACCAACCACACACCACTTTTGGGAGTGATACATACACAATTTAATTGTGAATCGCAATTATTATGTAAGGTGGTCGTTTTTTAAGTATCAAAGCTAATTACATGTTGGTCAAACCAGACAGACTGAATGCTACTGTTACATGGTTACACCTCTACCTCTGTCCAAATCTGATGGATGGATCAATTGATGTAATGTAATCTAATTAATAATAATTTGGATTGCATTGTCTTTTCTCTCTCCGACTGATTATAAATCATGGTCAGGTGTGAAATGAAAGAGATCTATTTTTTTTTGTGGTGGGTTTAAGTCTCATGACCAAATTGTATGTACGTTTTTAATTGGGTAGACAAGATATTTCCGTCGAGTTATGTAACTACTTAGAATGGAGATCTCCCAGCGTATGTTCTCAGGTTTTGACCAAATCTACGACAAATTAATATGAAATTTGCAAAAAACAGAATCTTCGTTTATTTGTAGCGTTGGTATTTGCATCCGAAGAGGAGAAAACGCAGAGTAAATTTGTCAATTTTAGGGCACGTTTTCTCCTTCTTTGATGCAAATATCTCTGCGAAATAAAACCATTAGGAGATCGTGTATTTTGCAAATTGCATATTAATTAAATTTGTGACCAATTGACACTAGTTTGCTCAAAATCAGAGAGCATACGCTGGGAGACCTCCATTTTTAGATTGGTCATTGAATTCTATTTACATGCTTTTTACAGTTGCCGATATTTTTATTGCAGTTTCATTTATTAAATCTCATTTATTACTATTATTGGCGATTTAATGAGGTATAAAGGAACTTTTATGTTTTGTCATTACGGTGCAGAAAGTGCTACTGGGCTATCTATGAAAACTAGCTTTGTTATTGTTGAAATGAGGAGTGCGTACGTATTTAACTAAATATTTTGGTTCGCTTTGATTGCGATCTTGTTCTGATAAGGAATGAAATGAATGAATGAGCATGAAGTGAATTAAAGTTGCTGCTGCTGTAAAAGTGTAACGTGACCACTCGTACATACACATACATCTATTTTTTATTTATTTTATGCACAAGTACGCAGTGGTAGTGGATAAATTGACCTAATTTAAGGTTTTGATTGGATATTAGTTTCAAAGAAAAGTGCGTAGCAGGCCAAAATGCAATCAAATCAATATAATGACACACCACACTACGCATTTGTTCCTTTCTTGCATTGTTGCTAGCTCAGTCACCTTGCGTGTGTACTTTTAATTTCAATTTATGATCGCCCAGCTCAGGTTTCATTGTTAAGTTATACTTTGTGACTGCACACATTTTTTTGGGGGCGGATAAACATACTTTAAATAGTGCCACCGACAATACATAATAGCGCAATGACAAGTTACTTGGGTTTAAAAAAGGATAACCTCTTATCTAACTTTTTGGGTGGACGGACTCGTAAATCTTTCCTCATTGTTTCAAATTTCTCCTTTCATGTGTCCATCAGAGAGAACAGAGAACATTTCGAAATTTCCATATCTTCCTCCCACCACTCGAAATTATGTCACTCGTCATATTATTACGAATGTATGTACATTCATACAGACAGACAGGATGACACAAAGTTACGTATGCACTTGCCGCCGCCGCACTGCGAATATTTAAATATGAAGAGATGTGACATTTCAATAGGAAAGTGATTAGATTTGCATCTCTAAAAATATAAAGGTGATTGCTCAACACGGTAAAAAAGGGGAAGACCCGACACACTTACTTACATAATAATAATAATAAAAAAGGTCTTTCAAATGCAATTCGTCCTTTTTAACCGGGGATTATACATAAGTACGTCTTAAATATTTCGTCCTAATGACATCTTGCATGCCCAAGTCAAATAATAGCTGGCAGAAGAATGGAATGGTACGTATTGATCAATTGATCTCTGATCGACTTGCTTTTTCCTGTAATTGTCAATTGTCGTCATTGTCAATTTGTTGGATGGTCATGTACGTACGTAATAATCATCGTCCGTCCGTCGCGCTTGTCTAGTTTATTAATTTTCCTCTTCTATCCATGCATGCATCCATTCTATTATTGTTTGCTTGACAAAATATGTAGTGCAGAATTAAGGAGGTGAGAGAGAGAGAGATGCCCTTTATTATTCAGCAGGGTCCTTGATGGATGTTTCACCTTCTTCAAATAATAATGGCCATCCTATTGTTGTGCTGTGTTATACTTAATTGCAAACATGCTACAAATCACATCCGGTGGAGGTTTTGGTTTGATTTTGCAGTATCGCGTCGAATAAGATGAGATGTTGCATATTTTATTTATGTACTCGCAAAAATAAGTAAATATTTTGCAATATTGAGATTTCCCCTGCTTAATTAATTTTTTAACATATAACTTGCGTAAAGAAACGAAATGAAACAAATATTGAAGAATATTGAATTTTATGGATTTCTTCCTTAATTAATTTTGTAACAAGAAAAAAATAAAATTCTTCTAATCAGGGTCAAAATTTTTACCACAAAAATTTTACCTGTAATTATTATTTATTATTTTACTCGCACTTCTTACATAATCATAATGGCAGAAATGTGATCATGTTAAGTACTCCATGAGACGCATAGGTACATGCATTCCACAAGGTGATACAAGGTACTATTTTTTGCAATGTGCTTATTTATTTATTTATCTAATAGAATAGGCCACACCACCACGAACGACCAAATGTCAATTCTTCTTAATCTTCACTTGTCTAAAAGTTGACTTTGTTGGTGTCATGTGTTTAATTGCACCTTTATGTTAATGTCATCTCACATTTGTGCAGGGACAGTTTGATGTCAAAGTTTTGCATGCATGCCAGCTAGCACACACTGCAATTATAATAATTAAACGTAAGAAAGATTTAAATATTTCCCATTTCCTTTTCAATCTATTCTCCTCACTTTGTAAATAGCGAAGGCAGCCCATCATTCCGTTCTGTTCATGGTTGGTTTTGGTGTGCTTATTCAAATCAATGTTTACAATACGTCACGTAATTGCTGGGCTTGTGTGACAAAGGATGAATGGATTGATGGGTGTAATAATAATGATGATATTTGTTTTGGCAGGTAAAAAGGCAGGTACCATTCAGATTTGGAGAAGTGGGAGGTTAAATGGTCTTTCAGGGTGGTTCATATCCACTTTTATATCTTATGCAAATTTTATTTGTTTGTTTAAATGGTCTTGAGAATTAGGATGAGGTGCAAAATTTCAGAAACAAAGATTTTTGCAGGTACATATTTGCAACTGTTTTGTTTCTTGCACTGCAAAGTGAGAAACGCAAGAAATGCAAGGTGCAAGAAACTGCAAGAAATATGCGCCACGTGGCGACGCGCTCTATAAAGTATGGCGACGGAAAGGAGTTTCTTGCGCCTTGCATTTCTTGCAGGTAAAAATATCTGCAAGAAAACACTTTCTTGCCCTTATTCCTTGCAAATTGTTACTTGCATAAGAAACACTGATATTTGCACATCTTGCAAAAAGTGCATTGCATTTTTTAACAGAATGAGTAATTACAAATACAAATATGCGTCCCATTCCTAGAGGCACACACACAACAGGAAATAAACAAATGCGAGGAAGCGTGCTCTGTTCTTGGGTGCGGTTCTTATTCCACTCATTCGCTATTATCATTACAACCAACTTAATCATTCCAAAAGGATGCGAGCCGAGTTATTAAGAAGAAACAACAAATTGTTGACATTAGGCTTGATTGCTTTTACTATTTTTGTATCGGCTGGAGCAGTCCTTACTTATTTGTGACCATCACAGTAGTAATTTCACGCGTCTGACAAATCGTAATTGCCTACCTGCCAAAGTATTATTTCAATTTCTTTACTTGAAGAACAATGGATTATTAACTTTCTGCGAGCTTTATGTATCCTCATTGTTCGCGTAATTGAAGACGCGATTGTCCATCATACATACTAGATTGGGGGTTGATGGATGGGTGAAACATTGAGAAATATTGTGTATTACTTATGGAATTACGGCTTGGTTTACGAGCAAAGGTTCCTAATTAACTGGCGACGAGGCACCCATAATATTCATCTCGTACATATTGCAATCTTTGTCTTGGATATAAATTAAGCCATTACTTGTGCAACTTGCTTGTTTAATTCCTTGTTTTGTTTTATGGTCTTGGTTCTCCTTCGTTGTTATCTTAATGTGCAGAGAACCTGATCATGTACAGAGTCCCATTATTATTACTACATTCTTCTTACACCTGACTCCACAAACAATCAGCTAACAGTGTGTGCTATTTGTCAATGTTGATTAGTTGCAAGGGCTGATGAGTTCTGATCGATGGAAGCATGTGCAAAAAAATTCGGACAGAGCTTAGCAAAACTAGTCAGTCAGTCAGTCACAATAATTAAGCACAATAGTAAATACAAATGCCAATTGTGACTCTGATTTCATTGTAATTACGGACACGTACACTTGCTAATGGAACGAACCATCCATAAGATTTGAGCAATTTTTATTATTTCACACTCTGCCGTAACGAGGAATTGTGCATAAATAAGTATGCGCAATTTATTAAGATTCCATTTCATGTTTACAACCTCAGTTGAAACTCTTACATACGCTGTCATCACATCAAATTTTTAAGGTGGAATAAATTCAGCAAGCAGAATGTTTAAGACACGTCCATTTCCATTCCAGGGATTCTTTCTCTTAAAAATATCAGATTTTATGTGCTCATTGTTTTCATGCCCAGCTTGAGCTTCACTTTACTTTACTTGGCTTAAGTGGTTGCAATGCAGAGTAAATAAGTAGCTGATAAGAAGTGGGAGTTTATAAAAGGCTTCTGCATGGCATACATAAATTGCTACAAATTTTAAGTGGAAGGTCACCCACGTTTCAATGAGAGGTGCTATAAATAAATAAATAAGCGCTTTACGTACTTTATTTCCTAAGTCAAGTTTAACTCAAATTTATTATTACGTACGCCAACTGCGCTTCAAATGAAAATTTTGGCAGTTCTCTTTTGTTTAAGAGGTGTATTTACGTGCATACCTGATGACCATGAAATTATGAGTACCACGAAAAAACCGAGTTACTTATTAGACAACTTGTCGAGAACCGAGGGAGCGATTAATTTAGGGATTACTAAACATGTTTTTTACCAATATTAACTCATTACTATTCCATCACCTACACTAATTTATAGGATGAATTGAGAGATGACGGCCTTTTAGGCAATGCAATGAGTGGAGGAATCTGGATTTACGCAATTTTTTGCACATCATCTTATTCTCTGCTTGGTTTGATTTTTAGATTACAAGTCAGTTCCATCACCAGTAAATATAATTATTTAATAACTTTGTCCAGCAACAGAGAGAGAGAGAGAGAACTTCATAAATAAATACGGCAAAAAAATCATAATTGCTAATAGAGCAAAGTGATTTAATCAATCATAAATAAAGTCCTAATGTACCTAGCTACGTGCCAATCCGTCTTATTCTTATGAGTCGATCATAATTAATAAATTGAGCCTGACCTCCTGGGCTGGTTTGATTGAAGGATTTATTTTCTTCTACTCTCCACTCCAGCACAAATTAACAAGGTGACGTGGAAATGATAATATTTAATAATGCCTTCGGGAAACTTGTACAATTTTTACCTGACCAAAAAATTTCAACGACTGGAATACATTTATTTCCACTACTACAATTAAAGCGATGATCTCTTATCTGATAAAACATGGCAATAAATTAGAGGCACAATTAAAGACTTCAAATTTCTACCTGGACTGGATGATGACACGTCACTGGAAAACGTAGTTGCTGGTCAGGTTTTGACATTGAGTGTCCGTCGTCGTTGTGGAACCTTGAGGGTCGTCATTTATGTATTTACGATAAGAGAGGAGATCTACTTATTTTTTTAGGCACCACTTTTGAACCCACATTATCAGCAGTGCATGTACATATGTAACCTAATGCAAAAATTGCACGCATTTCGACGTTTAGCACCCATTGTTACATACGTATTTAATGGGATTTGATAATAATTTGATTTTTTGCGATTTATCCAAATCCTATTTGCAAATGGAGGGAGAGACATTCGCAGTTACACATTTTATCTGTCTACTCGGTCAAAAGTATTGCTCACACTAGGCAAAATTCTCAAGGAAGGCGAGGTTGCACTGTTAAAACAATAAATTTGCTAGTGTGTGTGTCGCATATTGTGTCATACATATCAAAAGCAATGGAAGAAACACAATCAGTGTGGCCCTCTTAAATATGCGTAAGTAAATCAATCATATCCTTCATTTCACCAAATTGCAAGAAAAAAATCCACTTCCAAACGTGACGCTTTGATTGATTTACTTATTGATCACTATGCAATGCATCCATCTCTGCGTTCCTTACTTATCGAGGTCTTTTCTCATTTAATTAATTCTCTTATTGGCAGTATTCCTTAGTTTATCGACAGAAAGTCGTGTAATGAAATCATTGAGTTTATCGTACAAAAGGGGACAAATCGCAGTCATTCATTCAATCATTGACATTCTTGAGCTAGGTGTAACACTGCTCCTGCTCCTGCTGCCTTCACCCTTTTGTTTTATGGCAATAATAGGCTCATATATGCAAATATTCGTGGAAGGGGAAGGTAACTAGCAGCAGGTGCAATTAAATACAATTAAACCAGATAAATTAATACGTAAATGGGTGAACTAGTCTGGACACTCAATAATTATTATCATGCGAATATTTATAATGCATAATTTCATTACAGTAGTTTTTTTGGCAACTATTTACTATTTATCTAGACAATTTGGGAGGCAGCTTTTGGTTGACACTGACTTTTTTCTATGCATACTTTTTACACGCCCCTTATGACATAATAATACGATTAAATTATTGCAAAGACAATAAATGAGTAACACTCTGCGTTTTTTACGTGTGTCTCAAGTTTACCAAAAACCACACGACTTTTATGTACGCTATGCCATAAAAAAGGGGTGGTCTCTGGTCGTGGTATTGATATCTGCGACTAAAAAATCTCCACGAAATAATTAATGAGCGAACAAACTAATGTGAATGAGTGAATGACATTCATCCCTTCAACTTCATACGTAGGAAAAATTGCGTAATAATGCGTCACATCTGCTCCTCGTACTTGACAAATTGTCAGCTCACTATGATTAATTGTTTCAAATTAAATTATACTTATGAATTTAATTAAACATGCTGCATTACATATTATATTTTCTAGTCGGCGGTGGAAATTTGATGCGACTCCTTTCATAAATTAGCATACAAATGAATCATTAGTGAGTAGTAGCAGATTAATAAATGGCACAAATTCTTCTACATGTGTTTAATTGAGAGTTGACACGACACACAAGAGACACGAAGGTCAACCATACAGATTATTATTATATAATTTCTGTTTGTTTTGTTGGCGAATTTTGGCAAAAAATCTGCGGAAAAGGTGGCAAATTCACAACAGGTACTAATTTTATTCGATGAGACGACTAAATCTTAATTGTTGTGGGTAATGGCGTGTGAAAAATTATTTTGGCTCAAAAAATATTTTTAATAAATTTATGACGAATTTTATTACGTAATTTTGAAGGGACAGGTGTTGTACTTACATAAATTTGGTGTTGAATCTTCATCTTGGTTTTCTTGCAGAGGTGCCAATCCTTTCTTATTGTTATTATTATTACTATCAGAATTTGAAGGCATCATCTTCACCAGTTTGTTTTGGGACTAACTAATGCGTCTCGTTGTAACAAGTACGTTCATTCTGGGATAAGTAAATTTATGTCAGACTGTTAATAAATTATGTGTGTTTATTAATTAATTAGAGTTTATGTATGGTCATCAGAAGCCGTTGTGGCGATGATGATGATTATGATGAGAAGAAGAAGAAGACTGCCAAAAAATGATGGGGTTGAGATTTCAGGTCATAACAACAATGGCAGAAGACGATATGTATTTGGCTTTACATGATCTGATTGCAAACTGGGTTCTCTCTCCTTCGTTACGTGATATTTATGACACTTTCTCAGTTTTATGGACACTTTGACACTTTTATTAACTACCTGCACAATCGAGACGTGATGAGACGATGAGATTTTATATGTCGATGTATCCAATATGGAATTTTATAGATGTGCGTCTATGAGGATTCTAGTCTTTTTTCTTATATTAGTAATATTTTACAGGAAATGTGCCTAATTTTTAAAGTTTTGAATCTAAAATATTAACAAAAGTGTACAGGAAATTTTACAATTTTTTAAAAATCTGTGATATTTTTTAATTTAAAATATTTTTAAGAAATCGAGATGGACACGAAGACTCGTTTCGCAGTGATTAATAACAATTTTTGTTACCTACCTATTTACTGTCCGAAGCCTATTTACCGACTGATTTTACATGACATAAATTTTATTTTAAAACCGTAATTAGCACACAAAGATTGCGTAAGACCTTTAACCTACTCACTCTTCTCTCCTCCTCTGAATCTATTGTCACACACGACTGAATTGTTGTCAAAGACAAAAAAAGTGTCAACCACCACACTCACTCAATAGGAAATAATAATAATAAGGTTGTCGTGTCGAGCCAAACTCGACGTGTGACGAACGACGATCCTTAAAGAAAAAATCAAAAGTTCTTTTTTCACTCGTTCAGCATGTCATCTTCGTCTCATAAAGGAAATTGGTTAATGGTTTCGAAGCGAGTATTGTTTCATCGAACAGCGTGTGACACGTTTCGAACACAAAATAATACAAATATCTTGACAGAAGGAAATGGAGGAAATGTAGACGACAATTTACCGATGATAAATTTTACATGCGTTGGCTGGCTGAATTATTCAGTTGACATGCTTGTAATTTAAACGGAACACAGACTCACCCACCAGAAGTTGACGTGTTAATTTATTGCACAGTTTCCTCTATTTTGTTTGCTGAGCTGAATTGCTCAACGGACGGAATCTTATTAATTTGCAGACTTTATTTTTCAAAGCACACACAGTTATTTTTTTGTATTGTCTTCTTCTTCTCACTTTAAAAATAGTAAAATTATTTGCTATCCATCAAAAGAACGCGTTGCTCATTTATTTTGATGAAAATGAAGAACTGATGCGACACAAAAAAAATGAAACAATGTCCACTTTACAATTTTAAATTTGTCGTGCTTTCACAAACTGTGGGTATGTATGTAAATGATGTTGTGTTCATAAATAATTGCTTATTTTGTGTAGTTTTTAAATGTTTGCACTCGCAATTTACGTAAATATAACAATAAGACGGAACTATGTATAACGAGAACTTAAAGTTTTTAATATCTTAACTTCAATATCTTAAAGTTTTTTTTAAGTTTTATTTATCAAGTTATTTGGTTTTTATATTATTCTTTTTTAAACTGAAATTTAATGAAAAGGCTGCGAAATAATGGGTATGTATGTAATTTGAAAAAAAAAGATTTTGGAAGAAGAAGGTTGTTTTGATAAAAACGTGTACAGTGCAGATCACATTTTGTCAGTCGTGTTCACTTTGCAGGTCGGACATGGATTGATTGTTGGTGGACGAGGTGCAAGGATACATATTATGTGCTCTTTCTTAGGCATTGCTGAGATCTTGGTGTGCAAGTAAAGTACTCGTAAAATTGTACTATGCTTGTTATGATAGTTACTTGTTGCTTTGCTACAGTAATTTGAGCGAGGTTTACCTTCGTACGTGTTTGTGGTGTCGTCGACGTCGTCGGCGTCGTCATCGTTGGAATAATAGAGCGTATATCGTCTCATTTGGTCTTCTGAGATGTATGAATCTCATCTTGCCTCAGATTCACTCGCTGCGATTACGCCATGATTAATGGGTCGAATTATTATTCCAGTATAGCAAAATGACCGGCAAAAAATAAGAAGATGCGCTTGAAACCAAGTTCCAGTCAAGTTTTCTACATATCTGTATCATCATCATATTGATTAAGGAAGTGGAAAATGATGTTGCAGAAAATATGTGATTTATTATTTAGCTAGATGGTAAATTGGATGTAATGTAACGTGTCACGATTTTTGCAAAAGTAAGGTGTCCACTTTAATGTCGACATGAAAATGAACCAGAAAATGAGCTGGTTACAGTCATAAATTGTTATTAAGTTGGTCGACGAGTGCAATATCTGTCCAGCGTTTAATAATGATGAGGAACAAAACGAATTGCACACATGAATTGCATTGCATGAGGGATTAGTCTTTAATTTTAGAAGGTGGATGCGCTCATAAAATGAAATGGGGTGAAAAAATCACAAATTTGAGGTAAATTTGGTGTACATTTGCCCTTGTAGCGTGTATATGTACATAAGAAGGTGACGATGATTCCTTAGCTTGCAAAATCTATATCTGGATTGGATTTGTGCAAAAATCGTGTAAAATATTTGCCATGTTTTCCTACAAGTTGATTGAAGGTTGGTGATTGAGACATTATTATTATTACCGTGTACATGATGACCACGTCGTAAATAAATCTGCGTGTCAAAATGTCAAGTACTGATATTAGCTGGCTGAATGAAACTATACATTTTTAACTCTGGAAAAGTGGCATAGTTTTGGTTTTAGGAAGATAGATAAATATTGGATACATAAATTGGTGACGTTATTACGTGTAATTTCTTCCCTGTTTTTTTTGCACATTCCATTTATGCGCGCATCTTCTCTTCTTGAGAATCTTGATCTTGAAGAAGAATGTGAAAAACAATTTTATATATTTCGTACTGGTCGCATCTTCACTCGTTGACCTCATCCCAAATTTCTAGTCTTCGTTAATACATAAACAACAACCAAGTCGTCGACGTACTGCTAAACAGTATTGATTTTGATAAATTGCTTGTTGCACTTCCATTATAAAAACCACCTCCAATTCGACGCGATGCATACCTACCTGCTGTTACATTGTACCTTAAATACTTGCCTTATCGAGTGATATCATCTCTACACCTAAGTAATTTTATTATCGATATCGTCGTGCGTGTCTGTCGACCATTTACTGTATTGCGCATTCGTTTCGCTGTTCCTCAATCCTCCCAAGATTGGTATCAATTGGTAAGTACTTCAATAATTTATTAAGTTGGGTCAGATACTTATTGTGATCGTTCTGTCTGTCTGGGTGTCTGTCCGTCTGCAGGCAGGATTTCTCCTCAACATAGTCAAACGCGGTTTTAGCCATTGTGCTTCTGATTTTTGACCCTCGGTCGAGTTCTAAAAGGGTTCCTGCGGTCAAGGTCAAGTTGACCGTGAGATCGTGTTGACCGCCAGGTCAAACGCCAAATTGGACCTTAATTTTCATATGTGGTGTCATTCAATGGTAAATTTCACAACGAATTCAACGCCGTCAAGATTTTTGACCTCCGACAAATCCATGACCTTGGGGACGAGGTCAAAGGTCAAAAATACATTGTCATATATAGCGTCAATTTAGAGGAAGTTTCAATCGCTTTGACTTTGGCTACTTTTTTATGTTCGTTTGCCACAATTTTATTTATTTATTGCAATTAAATTATTCATTTGTTAATTTTATGAAATTCCAGACGTGCATGTTGTCAATTTTGAGGGATTGATTTGACGTTATTATTTTCATGATCAACTTCATTTTATAACGTTTTTTGTTTTTATTGTTTTTTTTCTATGTGTAAGTAATCATTTGGAGAGAGAAGATGATGAACAAATTGTATATTTTTAATTAATTGTGAGGTACCCATCGCAGACGTATTTATCATCATCATTACATATTTATCAGTAACCCGTTGATATTGAGATGTTGAATTATTGGAATTTTTAATTGCAAAATCAACCCTTCTTTTACCAAGTGGGCGTAAATATTTAATAATAATTTTTGCGAGAAATATGTGTGAATTTGGTGAAAAGAAGAGGTTATCGTATCATACCGTGTTCATAATTATTATAAAACATATATTTTCTTTGTTTATGATGCACTTTAGTGTTGAGACATCTCTATATTTTTGCATTTTACAATTTTTGCCAAAATTTTGCATGCATGCATTTTAGTCTCAATTATTGATGTCAATGCTTCTTTGTTGCACTTTGGTGCTAATAATATTGGCGATTTCAGCACTACATAAATATCTGTACATCTTGCTTCAGGTTTACAAATATTTCGTCATTTTTTCTACTTTATTAAATATTCATGAATATTATTTAGGCGACTTGGGCGAAGGGCAATCGAAGTAACCAAAAAGATTGGCAATATTTTACGAATATTTGGACAAAACATGAAATTTTACATAAAACTAAAATCTTTATACGCGTTTTTGCCATTTAAGACCACAAAAAATTCAATGACCATCAATTTTCTGGGATAAATACTTCCCTTCTATGGAGTTTTAGCTGTTAAACTTAATCCTTTTATTGCAGATTTTCATTGTAACGTACATAATTTGAATTTAGGAGTGTTATTGTTTTTGCAGTTACTTCAAATTTAATTGTTTTATTGCTGATTTCATAAGTAATTTGAATTTGCTGGTTTTTCTTCCATTTTTTCCACCTGAAATTGAATCCAATCAGACTTTCTTTTTCATTTTTGCTCCTCACCTTCTAATGAAACATTTTGGTTGGTGGTATGGTGCTCTAAAAAAATAAGGATTAAGGAGGGAGGATTGCATTTAGCACGAGCATGTAATAATGACCATCAAATGATCATCATCTCAATTACCAGGACAAGTGCATCTCTCACTCACCCATCCAACCCACAATGGAGGAGCATCACTTCAATTGCAATTCTTTTTTAAAACGTGATGATTGTATTCAATCCTCGCTTTTTGCCTGTTGTATGTTAATGCTAAAAAATTGCTCTCTCAGAATAGCAATCAAGGAACGACTGACTCGTCGCAAGTTAGTTATTTAGTTGAGGGATTCTCCCATTTTTTAATACAATGATTATGATTACGACGAGCTTGAATTGTCGGAAATCGTGATGTTCAATGAAATATGACAGACTTTCAACGAAACGACGTCGTCTTAAAATTAGACAATAATGTGGCTTGTGGTACAGCAATTTCTCTCATTTGTATCCATCATGTGGTCTTGATATTCAAAAGATGGCTGAGTAATCTCCAATTATTTGATGAAAAGCAAATAAATAACTATTTCATTTCGAGTGGATTTCAACTTTATTGCGTTCACGACTTAAACTTTGGTACCTAAGTTTGCACTTTTTTGGTGGGTCGAGATTTTGAAAAAAATAGGCGTGTAATTCTATTCTACTCGATTGATACATAGTTCAAAATCACATTTCGAGTGGAATACAAATTCAATAAATGTTTTATTACGTCTCCGACCTAAACTTACAATGGAAATTTTTCACATGTAAAACTTAGATTTACTCATATTTAGTTCACCACAAAAATAAGCATTGCCGTATTTTTTTTATTTTTCGGAATGTCCTAATTTGACCGTGAGGCGACAAAGTTACAGGATTTTGAAAGCCCTAAGTTTTGGCTGGAAAACCGTACAAAATCCGTGCCTCTCGCTCAAATTAGCGCATTATGAAAGACCAAAAATATGAGCATGCTTATTTTTTGTGATAGCCAAAATAGACTTAAATCTGAGTTTTACATATGAAACACAATTTTAAATACATTGTTAGAGTAGATTTTTGAAAAATAATACGCGTAATTGCTTGCCCTCCTCTATCCCATCCCATCGACTCTGCTGATAGTTGTTCAATTGGATTTTGTACAACAATAGAAACACGTAACTCTAGGAGAGAAATAGGACAAAAGCGACATTGTGGGTGGCAGGCTAAGGCTGGCATGTAATAAGAACAAAGTAATACGTTGCTAGTTTCATCTTTAATATTGAGAAGATGACCCTTTTCATAATAAATCTGCAAAATCTACTCGTTCTTCGTAACCTCCTCCGCCCGTATTTAATTTTCATTTCCAATCCACAACTAACCAACATTCGCTTCGCAACCTCAAAAATCAAGAGGACAATGCATGTCGTTGACGTTTCCACCTACAACTACATCATACATACTTAACTAACAAGGGAACATACCGAGGTGTCCAACGAGTTAAGGGTCGACACCTACAACAAAATGACCACAATACATGATTTATTAAACAAACTGAAGGAATTTCCGTGTAAAATTCACTTTTCGTCAAGTTGTGACGATATTTGTGACGAGCGCATGACCATCGGGTTGCCAGCGGGAGAAGTCGGCCGCTGAACGATCAGGTCGAACACAGAAGCGTCGTCGCCTTCACGTCGTCTTCAGAGATTTAAAATTCTTTCAAATTTGGAAAACCTCTTGAAATTTTGAACAAAAATTGAGAAAATTTTGCAATTTTGAGAAAATTTTGCAATTTTGAAGAAAATTTTGAAATTTTTAAGAAATTTTTGAAAATTTGAAGAAATTTTTGAAAATTTGAACAAATTTTTGCAATTTTAAAGAAATTTTTGAAATTTTGAAAAAAATTCACGATTTTTTAAAAATTTCAAGATGTTATCAAAATTGCAAAGAATTTTAAATCTCTGAAGACGACGTGAAGGCGACGACGCTTCTGTGTTCGACCTGATCGTTCAGCGGCCGACCTCTCCCGCTGGCAACCCGATGGTCATGCGCTCGTCACAAATATCGTCACAACTTGACGAAAAGTGAATTTTACACGGAAATTCGTTCAGTTTGTTTAACAAGTCATGTGTTGTGGTCATTTTGGTATAGGTGTCGACCCTTAACTCGTTGGACACCTCGGTATGTTCCCTTGTAAGACGAGTACCTGATGACTAATAATCATAAAATATTATTAGTTAATAACGCGAACAATGAAGGGTCGTCGTCGTCGCATCATCATCGTGAATGATGAATTTGAAGGTAAATTGCAAATATTTTATCCTGGGATCTCATTACGTATTCGTCGATGAGATGACATTAAAAAAATGGCGACGTGTGCCAAAATCTCTCTCTCGGTCATTTCGACATTGACATGCACACGTCGATTTTATAATTCTGGTCGTATGTACATAATTTTGATTCAAAATTCATGGAGGAAGGTCACCACTGCATTATTGTGACTAAAATTACGTATTAGTGGGTGGTACATACATGTACGTGTATGATGGACAGCTCGTTTAGCGAGATTACAATCATTAGAATTGATAAAATTGCAATTTTCCCTAATTCTACTTACGCACAACTCGTTGATCTCTGGTGATCTCCCGATCATCTTTTTTTTGAAGGGCTTCTTAATAATAATCGTCATGATGAGGGCATAATAATAACAATCATAATCATAATTATGCGATAAAGTTCAGCTTAGAATTTTGGCAGCGATCAGGCAGGACCTTTCTTTCTTTATTGTTTTATTATTGGCAGGGAGAGAAGAAATGAAAATGGAAATTTATAAGTGCTCATGTCCTCCTCAATTTGGCACAATTAGTGTTAAAAGTGAATAAATATGGGCAAGCAATTTTGAGTGGATTAATGATCATAATGTGCTCTCGTCTAAAATTTGTGGCGTATAGGCAAGTGGGAGCAAGCAATATTATTAGTTGAATAATTTTATATACAATTGACGATGAGCACGAGGGCAGGTCATCTTCGTCACGGCATGGTCACCTCTACGTACGTAGGTTATCAAGTACTTTGTTTTACTGTATATCAACCTCATGGAATATGCAAATGCATGTATCGAGAGGTTTTTCGTAGAAGAGTCGACTTATCTCTGGATGTGATAAGCATTTTAATTAGGAAAAAAATTAGGGATGGGTGATGCCATAAATTGGAAATAAATTAGCAACATTTTTGTTTAGACAAGTTCAAAAATTGGTGTGGATTTACTTAAATTACGCAATTACGTAATCCAGGTTAAAGATAAAATAAGTATGCAAATTATGCAATTCGATTTCAAAAGGTAATTTATAACACAATTTACTTAACACTTGACTTCCATACATGCACGTGGGATTAGATTCGGATAAAGGGAACTATTTCGTGACAACTTTAATGGCAAATTATTGTTCGCGTGGGTATACCCACATGGGTCGATGGGTATACATAATTCGCACCACAATGCCCACAATGGATACATGCCTACCTATTTATAAAAGTAATTGTAACACATAATTGAGCATTATTTTATTTATCTGCGAGTAATAAGTTGAGAAATCGATCCATTTAAATTATATAAGACTTTACTTTATGCATGCATGTACGTACCTAAAGACAGGTCACGTTTTTTCACGCATGGTAAACACCCCTAGTTTCAAAGGCTCGATGGGACACAATGACGCGTGCATATTTTATATACTAATTTAACAAGCATAAGGAGTCTATTTTTATAAGATTAAGCTGCTGGATTGTTTGCACGCGCATGGAATTCCTTTATGTTACAATTGAGCAACTTTCTTTATTAAATAAGGAGTCATTTTCAAGTATGTGAGTAAAATTAATTGCAATTAGGCAAACATAATTTAAGTATATATGTATTTAGTCTGATTAAAACCGTTCCCAGGAACTAAATTTAGTTAGAAAATCACCACTGATCAATGCAAACTTTTAATCGTGATTAGTTTTAATTTAAGGACTTGGCCATTTAAGTAAGTGGGCAATTTTTTTCTGCTCGCTTTTGTGCATACATGTGTACATAAATGTATTTATGTATTGTTGCAAAAAGTCAGGGGTAGGCATGCACAATGGAAAAAATGAGACCTTATTAGGTCACCTAAGATCGGGATCAAGTCAACAAGGTTTCCTTTCTTGAGGTGGTCTTACATACTTATTTGGTAAATCATTCACGAATTATTATTACGATGATAAGAGATTATCAACGGAAAGAATGGAGTTTACCACTTATCTTTTGTTCCTATTCTTTGCCTTTGAATGAAATCCAAAGGATATCAAGGTTACTAAATAATAAACTGCACGGCTGACTCTATTTTTGGGAGGGCATAATCTTTTGTCGGAAATTGAGCCCATGTGAGTGACTAGATGTATGTAATAATTTGCATATGGGGATATTTTATGGATGATAAATACATAAATATAAGCGGGTGGGAATGAGATCAAGTTTGTTGCTTGTGAGTGAGGGATGAATTGCAGAAATTCATCTTCATGACTTGAATTGTGTGCATGCAATGACAAACTTAAACTTGATATGGATTAATTCAAAGGGTACATTCTGTATGAAATATGTTATTGATTCATGACGAGATTGGAATGAGATTCTAAATTCTTTGGAATGAGATTTTGGGTATAGATAAATCATTCGCATAGTTTCTGAATGTAAGAAATCGGGGGTGATAAATATGTACATATTTCTGGAATGTGTATGTTGATTAATACACAGTCAGGCTGTAATTTAGGTAGCATTGGTAATGCGCAGTGCGTGGCAGGATTTTCGGTGCAAAATCTAACAGAATATTTGTACAAATATTTATAAGTAGCTAATATTTTTTTTCATTTTTCTTTTAAACAGGGACGTCTCTCTGATGGATAAAGCGGTCACTCCAGCCGTGTTAAAGAAGGACGACGAGGAGCCTCCAAAAGCGGTGACTTCAGAGGTCCCTCCAAAACCAGAGCCCAAAAAAGTGGACCCCTCAAAAGCGATGCCTCCAAAAACAGTTCCGCCAGCCGTGCTAAAGAAGGACAACGAGGAACCCCCAAAACCGGGGTCTTCGAAAGCAGTGCCTCCAGCCGTGTTAAAGAACGACGAGGAACCTCCAAAAGTGGAACCTCCAAAGCCCCTGCCTCCAGTCGTGTTAAAGAGCGACAAGGAGCCTTCAAAAGCGATGCCTCCAAAAACAGTTCCGCCAGCCGTGCTAAAGAAGGACAACGAGGAACCCCCAAAACCGGGGCCTTCAAAAGCGATGCCTCCAAAACCGCTGCCTCCCACCGTGTTAAAGAAGGACGACAAGAATCGGAAAGTGAGAGTGGACTACATCCAGTTCACCAGGACGGAGCCGTCTCCTGTCGCTGTTGTGGTACATGCACATTTCCTTAAGCTCATTATTGGATGAGATAATTTAATTAATTATTAACTTCCTTCCAGGCTCCTCTGGCCTTTGGGCGAGAAATGCAATACTTCCACTACATCCAATTGAAGAAAATGTACACATTTCGTGTCTCCCGTGTCGTCAGTCCGGCCGACTTCTGCCTCATGTACGTTTCTGAACGACCCCCGCAACGGGAGTTTGAAGTGTCCGGTGCCCCGGACGAGCTTGGAAACATTTCCCCCACCATGTGGACCGACATGCAGTTCTTCTACAAGTTGGATGGGATACGGACTGAGTACAAACTTGTAAGTTTACATAATTATGTTGCCAATGCCGTAAAATAATTATTGTCATTCGTGTTAGGGTACTGATCCCCACAAACAACAAATGTACGCTTGCCGAGAGGGCGAAGGCAGCAAGGAGCAGTACCATCGAATCACCATTCTTACCAAGGACACGTACAACGATCGAGCCAATGTTCTCTTTGTCGACTCAGGATTAAGGAAGTTGGTCAACTTTGACCAACTCTACGAGCTCCCCGTCTGCTTTACTGATCCACCAGCTCTCGCATTTAAGTGCTCTCTGGCCGACATTCTTCCAAAAGGTGCATACATTTACATATTTATTTGTGTAACAGTGTTTCGCGTGCAAGTAACCACTTGCAAGAAATAACGGGAAGAAAATGGTTTCTAGCAGCTATTTTGACCTGCAAGAAATGCATGGCGCAAGAAACTACGCCCCGTCGATATTCCATCATACGGCGCGTGGCTAGGTATTTCTTGCACCTCGCATTTCTTGCTTTGCAGTCCAAGAAATGTAGCAAGAAACAAAACACTGATAATTAATAACTTATGAATATTCCTCGTACTAAAAGAATCCCGTTCTATTACAGACTCGAACAACCCCTTCGTCTGGAGTGAAGACATTTGTACCGCCTTCCGAAACATGACCATTGGCCAACGCGTGACCGCTGTGGTTCACTCAAAAAACGTCCATCATTTTGAAGACACCACCGTTGCCCAATGCCACTTGAGTGCCACGCTGTATTTGCTGGATGACCCGGTCACCCTGCAGGAAAAGTTGATCACAAGTGGATGGGCACGCGCTGCGCCAAAAACCGCTGCCGCCGCCGCCACTGCCACACCTCCAAATTAAATTATTTTGGATACTCTTCCAATTTTTGGAATGATGAGTCCCCTCTTTTTTACACCATACATTTTTCTTGATAAAAACAATTCCTTTATTTATTATTTATGCCAGAATTGGTTGATCATTTGATCCCATATTTACCTATTAACTGAATAAATGTTTCTCTTATAAATAAAATAATAATACACTTAATTTTCCTTGTGCAAAGCAGCAGTTCAAGATATTTATTGTTTAAACTTCACGAATATGTAGATAGTTCATAATAAGTAATAATTTTACTACTTTACTGTACACAGACATCACAACACAAAATTAAATACATGTTTCGTGATATTTTACAAAAAAAAACATTTGCAAGTAGTCGAGTATCATCTAAAGTGCTTGCTTGCTTATCTTGGACAGGATACATCAGTCTAATTGCATACCACAATTCTCTCTTCTGTTACTTTACTTTCTGCTGTTCTATTTTTCTGTATTACTGGTAAAATTATGATACGCTACGTTATGTTATCATCCTCACCATTGCACGCGCACAATCTTGCTGAAACATTGTATTTCGAGGTCTCCAACTTTATATTTCCAAATATCTGAAAAGAATCTCCAATGAAAACATAAAGTTGAATCCTTTCATTTATTTATCAAGCAACGACGACGATTCAAAATTTTTAAAAAGTTGCACGTGAAAGAATTACAAAAACCGTAATTTCCAAAATTGTATAATCATAAAGCATGTATGTAGCAAATCCAGGATTACGTTATTAGTATATTTCAAATGTAATGACCAGTACTTACAGGCTCCAGTTACTTCGTGTTAACTGTTATTTTTTTTATATATTTTCTCCACACGTATTTTCTACAAATCTTTAAAACAACGTGGACAATGACAAAATTTCTAAAAAACAAACTTGTTACATATTTAGTACATCATGAATTTGATTTAAAAAGTAGTTGATTGAGTCGAGGTGAGGATATTCATGAGCATGATATAATTTCTACTGTTGATTATAGACGAGTCGTCCTTGTAAATTTATTTACCTCGTACGTTTTGTATCATTATTTAATTAACTGGATTTAATTAAAACCTAACTGGAATAATTAATTAGTAGACTTTGAAAACTGCATGATATTTATGTTACTTTTTGTGGCTGGTTGGTTGGTGGTGGTGAGAGATGAGTAAACCTGCTCTTTTTCCTGATATCCTGCCCAAATCTTAACATTACAGATATTACATACCTAATTGTGTCGTATCGTTAAGTAACAAATAAGTAGAAATCATGAACGGTACATCACGGGATGAATATCCATCGATACAAATGTAAATATACAACCATTTTTAAAAATTTATCTCTAAAAGGTCTGAGCTGGCTAAATCTTAGATTCCGTACAGAATTTTACAAACTATGTAACTTGTCGCAGTATATTTTGATTACTGTTTAAATATGCACTTATAGCTTGCATTAATTAATAGTCTTGTAACTTGTATGTAGATGACTCACTCATCATTCACACACTGGGTTGACGAAAAAGTCGGTCATCATCGATTGAAAATACACCGTTGGCATGTCGTAGTAAAATAATAATGGTAGATTGATTGGACATTCATTTCATAATAAATAGTAATTAATCTGCATTAATTTAGTTTATGCAATTAATTTATGTATTACTGTTCTGGTTGATTTTTCTGAATTTCACTGAACACAATCCCCTATTCCTACACACACTCGTGGGTTCGATTTCTTTTTTTTAAACGCCCAGTCCCGGAAAATTCCCCCCGCCCGTAAAATTTCGTCCCCTGCTTTCTTGGCAAACGGGTTTCGACCTTTGCCGAGAAAGTGGAGGGCGAAAACCAGGATAAGAATTTACCGTTTAGTTTTTTTTTTATTTTCCGGGATATTACCCCCGCGTTTTTCGAGAAAAATAGAAATCGAACCCAGGCCACGCATACACTACGTACTTTTCGTGACACCGCGGTAATAAAATAACTCAATCAATAAACAACACTGGTAGTTTTACAATGCCGAGAAATTAACTAATTATGTAACAAAGAGAACCTCATGTACATTACATACATCGAGAAAGAACCTAATGCTCCATAGAACCGTTTTGTTGATTAGCACTGCTAAGAATAGAGCCTACATCTACATTTTTTGTACCAATGGGACTCTCGGAAAGTTTCGTTCTTTTCGTGGGTGGTAGTACATCTCGGTCACTGTCGGAGTCGTCGTCATCATCAACATCACCTTTGCCCTTGGTCCTATTTTCATCACCACCACCACCCCGACTTTCACTATCACTACTCCTAATAATATTCGATTTGGGGTCGTTCAATTCGGAGTTGTCGACAAGTTTCGCATTTGCCACTGATGTCCTTGTAGTCCTATCATTTTTATCGGAATTAGAACTAATTGGAGAAGCCGTGGAGGTGAGCTTGAGTCGTTCTGGGTCCGAATGACTGCTTGAATTGGAATTTTCCCCATTCATACACATACCCCCATTGTCGACGTTAGTTCTACTACTATCGTCGTCAATTTCCATTTTGAGGGCGAGTAGCTTAGGGGACTGTTTCTTCTGATGAGTGACTTGGCACTGAGCACAAAGATCCGTGATTTTCACGGTTAGACTGACAACTTCATTTTGGAAATCGTCATTATTAGTCAAACTTTGTTGCACGGCAGAGTTTGAGGTTGACGCGTTGCTATTGTTGGCTGTTGAATTTGTGGAACCAGTTTTTGCAGTGCGGAGTTCCTGTTGCAGGTAATAGATTGTGCCTTGCATCCCTTCCACGTCCTCGTCAAGCTCTTGGATCAACTCGTCAAGTTCTGAGAGAAATTATCAAAGCACAATTTAAATCTCTGGATGAATAGGCAGTAATTCAAACCACACTGACAATGGAGGTTTCCCAGAGGATGTTCACTGATTTTGACCAAATTAATGTCAATCGATAAGAAATTTAGTTGAAACGAAATTTGCAAAAGACATGATCGCCTAATGTTCATGTTTGGTAGAGATGTTTGCATCCGAAGAGGAGAAAACGTAAAAATGCCTTAAAGTAGACAAATCTTCACTTTCCAAATTTACGGTGCAATTTTTCTTCTTGGGATACAAATATCTCTGTCAAACCTTAGCATTATGAGACCGTCTTTTGCAAATTTCATAGTAATTAGATTTGTGATTGATTGACATTAATTTGGCCAAAAGAGCAAACTCTCCATTGTGACTTAAATTGAATTCTGTACCTGACTGAGACTTTTTCATCTCATCTGTTAGAGATCGTTGAAGGGCTGTAAGTGTCAAATCATATCATAAGTGAGACAAGGTATGCAGATTTCAGACCAATCAAAAAATATGAGGAATTCATTGTGTTACGGTAAAATTTAAAAATTCCCTTACCAAGGTCGCTCTCCAATTTGGCAAGTTTTCCACTCGTAATCATTTTCCCCAAGTCCTCATTTTCTTGATACAACATTCTACACTTTGCCATCAGCCTTTTTCCAGTGTTGCTGTAATTATCAAATTAGTTAGCGAGTTAACATACATATACATTTGCGATTAATTAAGCCATACAATCTGTAACTTAAAACTTCAAAATATTAATTTAAAAAAGTAACACTGTAGCACGTATTAATTGTGATTAATTAATTGCTTCGGTTTGGATGTGTACCTGTCTGGCGTAAATTTCCACGCGTTAAGGTCGTTCTGTGTATCCTCCAATTTCTTCTTGGTCTCATCCAGTTCCTTCTTCATTCGCTGAATCATGAGATTGACAGCAGGATCGATAAGAGTATTTCGAAGAGATGCCGGTGTGGGTGCGATGGCCTGCTTTAATTCGTTTAGTTGTGCGATGTAGTCTTGCATTTCATGTTCCTTTGTCGTTAACCTCATCACGAGGACATTTTCTCTACGAGACGACTCCACCTGCTGGGCACGAAATTTCTCCTCTGACTCCTTCAATTGTGCATTGTCTTCTGCACAAATTTAACAAATCAAACAATTAGCATTTCTTCATTAGGTAAAATTTAATTAATTAACCACCAACTTTTTAAAGTTTCCGCATAACGGACAAGATCATTGTACGTTTCGACAAACTTGTCCCGCGACAGAGTGCTCACTTCATCGGCACCGAGAAACCTATAATCTGACGAGTCTGATTGTTTTTTTGTCGGATCACTGTTGCTGTTTTCTAGTACTCCTCGACCACCATTCTTCGCTTGTGGGCCAACACCACCACCACCCTCACATTCTACGCCTGACGAGTCAGACTCTCGGTCGGGGATATTGTTGCAATTTTTGTCCTTGACCTTGCTAATACTGCTGCCCCCACTTTTTGAAAGGTCCGTTGTTGAGTCTCGCAGGATTTCTGACGATGTTGACGACGATGATCGAAGAGATTGTCCATTTGAAGAATTAGCCTTTTCACCATGAACCAACACTACGCCATCGGAGCAAGTTGAACGAGGATTCGAAATTGAACCAATTTTTGTCCCTTCCTCCCCAGTCATTTCAGTTAAAGAGGGTCCTCTTTATTAAGTAATGCTTACTAATTATTATTAGCAACAACAGTATGTCAACTGTTATAACAAAACAACTACGATGCGCGTTGTGGGAGGAAAGGCAAACTTAAAATAACTAGAAACACAAAAATTGTCTTGATTGAATTGAAAATCTCGCTGTTTAAAACATCCTGAAATTCAAACAAATAAACAGAAAGCCCAAACGGTTGCATTAGATTTAAATTCTCAGAATTATAGACAATCGTTAATTAAATTATCGTTTTCTTACCAAGATTTCTAAACTGATGACAATTATAACAAATTGCCAGTTTACATTACAAATCTGTCGTCGCTTCTTTTACGTGTTCTCGATATCAAATCTTTTAACTCCAAACTCCCCACTTTTTCTTACGACGACACACGTTTACATGAACTTTCCAATAATGATGACCAATTTTTTAATTGCTTTTCTAACTTTTGATGTTAAAAATTGCGTTGTTTTGTTATTTATTTAGTTTAATAACAAAACTGAAAACATAGAATGCGATGCAATTCGTTAAACTCGCTCTGCAGCTCTGAAACTTTGAAGAGTTCTGCCTGGCGAGTATCGATCGAGGAACTATTTCAAATATTTATAGTTCAAAATGTCGTTGATAATTGTTTTTCATTAAATTAAAGTTAGTGAATTTGTGCAGTTTGTTTCTGAGAGAGAGCCAACCAGTAAGAGTTGTGGGATTTGAGTTTGGTGGCGAGTGGGTTGGGAGGTGCTGAGAGGACGGATTTTCAATGTTCCGGGCACATTGAGACGCTCGGATTCGTTCATTTTTGTGCAATTTTGCATGCAAAAGTATGCAAAAAAAGTGCTAAATATAAAAAAAAAATGCAAGCGAATTATATTTATACTTCAGATTATTTTGCGACTTTTTGCACGTTTCCGAATTTTATTACACATCAAATTATTATTTAAATTAATTAAATTTGAAAGCATTAATTTATTGGCATTGAAGATAGACAAGTTTTAGCATAAATCATAGTTATTAAAAAAATTATTTTAGAAAAATTAGCAAAACAACAAAATTAGCACAAAATGTTGATGGATAGATTATTTTTCAGCTTTAACGTTTCTGAATTTTCATTAAGAATTAATTATTATTTAATATTTAAAATTAATTTTAACAACTTAATAGCATTGAACATACGCTTACAAGTTGGAAGGAAATGATCGTTATTTCTATTTCGGAACGTTTTTAGGAAATTGTCGGATATTTTATGAATTCCATGAAATAAGAGTGTATCAATGACATGAAAAATTAACCACAGTCTAAACCTTTTTGTTTGGATGAGATTTTTAAAAAATGTTTCATTATTAAATTTTTTTAGACTTGATGTCGGTTTGAGAATTTTCAGAAAATCGTAATTAATTTATTACTTGTAGGTTTACTTTTTTCACAACTGAAAACGGCTAAATTACCTAATTTATGAAGATTAATTTATGAAAACTTTTCGATTTTTTTTCATAAAAAATTGGATGTTATGTTATGTGCATGGGTCGATGACATTTGAGTATTTTTTAAAATTCGTAATAATATCACAATGAATTGTCTTTTGTATGTGTCTTTTGCATGATTGATTGTTTCGCGTACTCATTTTTACATATGTTCCAAATCCCTTTCCAATCTCGTGAATTGATCGATTAGCATAACTTGGAAATTTAAAACATAAAACTTTTTTCAAGATGAGAATTTTATTCATAAATTTCCTAAACTCTAGAAGTTTATTGTTTAAATATATAAGTTTCCCGAGATTTATAAATTTTATGTTAAAAGCGTAGCAATAAACTTAATCTGTTTAGAAGAATTTTAGCGAGTTGACAAATCACGAATCTTTGCGTAGTACTTGACGCCGATAAGAATTTATTTTATAAATTCGTAGTATAAAAATAAGATCTAGATATGATGAGGCTTCGCAAAATTAAGTTTAAGAATTTGTCTTAACTTTTTTAAGAATAATTAAAAAAAAATATGATAAGATGAATTTTAAAATATATCATGTCTAGTTTAAATTTTACTTGTACAAATTTCAGGCAAATAAATTTTACTTTAAAAACGAGTTAATGTCGATAAAGAATCTTTACTAAAGATTGTTTACCAAAATTTGTAAAATTAAAATGAGATGCAGTAATGAGATATGCAAATTATAGCATTAATGATAATAATTATTTTAACAAATCATGACGAAATGTTCATAGATGACAATACATTTTTGAAAATGTATTTTCCTATCAAAGTACAAAGTATTATTTGTAAAATCTTCGTACATATTTTTGGCCACTTATTTTCATGCGATAATAACAGACAAGTTCAGTAGAGCGTATAAAATATGCAAAATTCATTCATTTAATTAACCATTATTCATGTCTTGTCTGTAAATCAGACATTTATTCAGCTTATTTTTTGCTTCTAAGTTAATATACACAGAAAGTAACAGATCACGACACTAAAACTGGGACTATGAAAAACATCTCATGAATCAAAATCACACACACATCTCTCGAAAAGATTGGCATCTTATTTCACTTCATTATCATCTCCTCCTCTTCTGGGTGGAAGAAAGTAGCGTAAACTGGATAGAAAACCCATAAATATTAGCGAACTTGTATATAAATCCTACCATTCGCAAAACCAATTCTCCGTGTTTAGGTTCAATCCTACATAAAAAAGAGGGATATTATTAAACAGGAGGGTTTGCTTGCACCACATATTTGTGACTGTTTCTTTCTTTCTCTGCGAGGGAAACGCTGCTAGTATAATTTCATGGCTTCTTCTCTGCTAAATAAAACCACTGTAAGCTCACTAAACTTGTATATAAAAGCTACTTCTTCTACTCCAAATATTATGCAAAAAAACAGAGTATCATTCATTTTTACTGCAACGTGAATATTTGCATGTATCCAAATCCAATCCAATCCACCAAACCAAACGCACTCTTAGAAATCCTGGGTTAAAACAATACCAAGCTGTATTCATATGACTCTACCAAAGCGATATTGATAAGCAATGTAGCTCGGCATTAATGTTTTATCATATTTTTTACTTAACGGTATAACAACGCACTTTAATACCAATCGGTATCAACTTTACTACCAACAAACCAATACCACCTTAATTACACCAGATTTCTAACAGTGCATCTTTCCCAGAACGGTACAATATTTCATGTCATCATCCCATCCCATACATAATAAATATTGCATTGCACAACTATGTAACTATACCCACATTTTTTTTGCGTACTTTATGTCTTTACCCGATTGCTACATATTGCTCATCCTGAGCGAAATGAAGTAAATTGAATGTGTCTTTCTCTTCCTCGGCTAATGTTCCCTCAAACCAAAATAGAACGGTTGGATGGAAGAACACACGTTTGTTTGCACATAGCTCCACGTCCACGAATCTACTGGATTCTCCACCGTCTACCGTGTGCTACTAAATATTCCCACTTTTTTCCTCTCTCCCGTACATAATCTGCAAATGTTTGTCCCTGCTTTCCTGTCGCTAAAATAACTGACAAGTGGCAAACCAACCATTTTCAATTTCATTATTGCATCCACTCCACCGCTTTTACTTTATTACAATATACTTCACCGCCACACTGCATGCAGTCACTAAGTAATATGATTAGGGATGAATCGTTTAGTGGCATGTCGCTCAAGCCAGTGGACTGGATGGCTGGCTAAAATTAGTCCATTTTCTCCACATTATTCCAAACAGAGGACATTTTCTAGTCCCAAGTCAGTCTTCATTCTGGACTTGTCAAAGCGTCGCAGTTTCGCGATTGTCGCCTGGACTACGATCCATCCATTCAATCCGAAAGTAATCCATCCATCCAGCCAGCCAGGCCAAATTCAATGGAGTCGAGAGAGACAAAGACGAGATGATTGTGTGTGTGTGTCCTGTCCGGATGAAAAGTTGACTATAAGAGCAGAACAACATAGCACACACTTTGTATTTATAAGCTATACGGGGACATAATAATCTTATGAATGCATCACAACTCGTACCAAGTCGTCGTCGTTATCGTTGTCCCCTTTTTAGTTGAAGGAGAGAGAGAGAGAGGTTTATGTACTACTTGTTATCCTCCTGTCCCACCAGGGTTCGAAAAAACCCAGGGTTTTAATCAAAAATTATAAAACCCATGGGTTTTAATGGGTTTTACCATGTTAATTGGGTTTTATTTGGGTTTTAATGGGTTTTATTGGGTTTTATTGGGTTTAAATGGGTTTTATTGGGTTTTAATAGTTTTAAGTAATAATTTAACAAAAATTATTCGGAATTTGTATCTATTCGGAAATTATTTTTGCTTTACAACACTTGAAATCTGTGATGCTAAAGAATAGAGTCAATTGTTGCTTTGTTCCGAATTTTCATATATTATGATAGTAATGAAATAAACTGCTTTAGAATGAATTGAGATAACGTCTTTTAACGTATAGGAGATGTATTTAACTTTTAGAATATAGTTTTAAGGTAAAACTCGATTAAAACCCAATAAAACCCATTAAAACCCAAATAAAACCCACTTAACATGGTAAAACCCAGTGGGTTTTATTCATTTACAACCCATTAAAACCCATTAAAACCCAATAAAACCCAACCCATTAAAACCCAGGTCGGAATACCCTGTGTCCCACCAACTACCAAACCAACCAGTAGATTCGTACGTAATGTACTGCACATACATACACGTTCACATGGTGCATTTTCTTCTTTTATAAACTACTTTCTGCCTTCGTGTCTCCATCATTACTGCGGAAAAAAGAGAGGACAAACTCGTTCCTTGCTTGATTTCAGTCGAGAGGGAGGCTTCACTCCGTCAGGAGATACTTGTTATCATAGTTCGCTTAACTCACTCATTTCATGCCGTGTGTTACGTAACTAACTGGCCAGAAAAGCATCACATTTAGTCCGGATTTTCGTCAAAATATTAAATATTTTCCCCCACCGACTTTCTCTTTCTGAGAAAAATTCATTCTGGAGAAAGCAGCAGCAGCGACCAAAGTAATAATAACGGGATAAACGGAAGCAGTATCAAATTTCCGGAAATCTTGAGTCAACCGTGTCTGTCTACTTCATCCTTGTTTGTAGTTTTGCATACGTAATGCGATATTGAGGTGGAGAAAGAGCAGAGAAAGCCGAGGAGAAAGTGGGCTTAGCAGGGAAAGTGTTGCCGTGAGAGAGTTGGGCATAGCTGGCTGGCTGGCTGGGTGTTGTAATAAAGAGAAAGTGCGAGTGATTTTATTATAGGAGAAAGTACAACCAAAGACGAGGACGATGACGGTGTGAGCAGATCGATATCATCTCGTGCTCCCAAAAAACATAACTTGCACCACCAGCAGCAGAGTTCTTCTTCTTCCTCTTTTTCTTCTCAGTAATAATAATAGTAACGCAACAGGCTTCACCACCACAGACACCACGGCCACGATTCGGTATCAGCATATCAGCACTCCCAACAAGTAATAAGTAGCAGGCACACAGTTACTTTCTTTGCATGTCGAGAGGAGCAGAATTATTATTCTAATCGACGAGGAGGAGGAGGAGGCGGAGGAAGAGAGACAAGTAATCGTCGAGTGTGTGATTAGCAATACCGATAAATTTTACAAAACTCGAATGCCTGCGTGTACCTGAAGTTTCGTTGTTTCTGGGCCCAATCAATTCCATTCCTACTACACAAATATTCAAAATAATGTGGATTACAAAGTAACAAAGTTCCTTGGACTAATATACATTTTATCGCTAGGATTATCTATCGCGTGTCGTGGTGGTGTTTTATTTTGCCTGGTGGACAGACTGTTTATTATTTTGCCTAATTTTTTCCTGGGTTTTCTCATACCCGATAAGAAGAGGCAAGGCTGAGTTGTGTTGTCTCTCTAAATTTAATCAAGGGTCAGAAAATGTGCCTTTCCATCTTAATTTAACCTTATTGCATACACCTTTTGTTCCATTGAGAAGAGAAGCCTCTTCGTATTTTCTGTGCCCAATTTCGGATTTTTTTGTCACACGAGGAAGTGCAATAAGAAGATGCCTCGAGACGAGGAGAAAGCACCCGCAATTCCGCAACAGCAACAACAGCAGAATAAAGCTCCTCTCAGCAAGATCTTGCTTGTTTGTATGGTAGGTTTATTTACGTCAAAATAATTGAAGTTTATTATGCATGTTTAATACTTGTCACTTATCCGGCAGATAAGTTATGTGGGTTATCTTCTCCTGGGAGCGTGGTGTTACTACGTGGAGCAACGGCATGAGGAGGAATTTCACAATCAAAAATCTCAAGATGCAGATTGGGCGGAGAAAGGACTCGTTCTCGAGTTACGTGTCGCCACGAGTCTCATGATCTTTTCTGCTATCAGGATTTTCCTCCTTTTCATCTTCATCCTCGAAAAGGTACGTAACCGAGTTAATTTTTACCAATCAAAATTCCAATCAAAATTTCCAGTGTTTCCGGTGCAAGTAACCACTTGCAAGAAATAATTGCAAGAAAGTGGTTTCTCGCAGCTATTTTGACATTTTTGACTTATTTTGACATTTATTTTGACTATTTTGACCTTGCATTTCTCGCTTTCCAATTCAAGAAATGTGGCAAACCCCCAAAAATCGAAACATTGAAAATTCCCCATCCTAAAATTTCCTAAAATTTTTTTTTTCAGGTTGCCGACTTGGAGACGGTATCCATAATTTGGTTATCCATCTCGACCCTTCTCATGATGGCTGCCTATTTCACGGCGTGTCTAAACTTGGACGTCTTCATTCACATCCATCCCTTCTTCATTACTCTCTTCTTCGTCTCCATAGGCCTGGATTTCCTCGGCAACGTGCTCGTCATCGTTCGACACAATAACTTTTAAAGGGTCGAAACCCTCATGTCTTTCTCAACCTAGAAGAACAAGTACCAAAAAACTAAAACTAATAATAAGAGTGCCACAACCTTATCACACAACCAAAAACCAAAACCACGAGACTAACCAAAAAACCAACCAATATCGATAACCCATTAGACTGTCTTTAAATACAAAAAATATACTAAAATTCATCCCGAGATATACAAATTAGCGGAGGACTCGATAAGTCATGATCAAAATGGTTAAAATCAGCACATTTTAAATCATTCTCGCCTCTAGGAATTTATTTTAAAATTCTGAAAAACAAATTTGTACTCAATAAGTTGATTCATAAGATGACACCGAGTTTTTAATGAGTTCTAATTTTCTGAAAGCTTCGTAAACTTGAGATCTCCTCCTTCAAAAGCTGTCAAAATCTAAGTACACATTTTTAAAAAATTGGCAAATCCCTCTTCTAAAAATTCATGTTTCAGAATTTTAAAATAAATTCCCAGAGCCGAAAAATGATTAAAAATGTACATAAAATTTTGACCATTTTGGCCATGAGTCATCCAATCCTAATTCGCCACCCTCAAAACAATATCATTACATTACTTACTTACTTATACGAAAAGAGAGCGAGTTATTATTCAGGACGAGCGAGTCTGCTAATTCACCAATTAATCAATACCTTACGTATTTTATTGATTACTCGCATGCCTCATGGTGGTGATGGGTGGGTATAAAAGTAAATAATGTGTTCATAATCATCAACTGTAGTTACATAAATATGCAAAACCAAAACCAAAGTATATCAGACAGAGTATTAATTATCCTACAAAAACATTAGCGTTAGTAACGCCGCCGCCGACGCCGCCGCAAAAATCGTAATCGTAATCGTACACCTGTGTGACTTCTTGCCAAAATATGATGCAACCAAATTATCAATTATCATGCAATTAACCGTTAATATTCTTAGGATTAGAGACATATGTAAATGTAAACCAAACCAACGAAACTCATATTTATTCAACCAAACAAACCAATACAAACAACAAAACTCATCATGTTCAATAAAAAAAATTAGTGTGTAGTGAGTCAATTAGTGCCGGACCGGAGAGAGATAAATATGTATAATGTTAAAATAGAGAATTATGTAAATATGTAATATGTAAATTAAATAGTTAGTGATAGATAAATGTATTATTATTATTATTTATGTTAATCAATACTCGGTTAGTGAGATAGTGCAATTTTCAAGTTTTATATAGAATTTACCATCCAGCATGGCCACGATACATATTTAGAGAAGCATATTTATAGTTAGTTGGATATACCGAAAAAAGTATACTATTCCTATACACAGCACACGCAATATGTAAATGTTAACCCGACCGGTAAATGTAAGGACAATAAAGTACCTTTTTTCCTAGAAAATAATAATTACCACCAATTCAATCAATTTTCAGCAAAGGTGGGCAGAATATACTTTACTAAAATGCAATTTTTGAGGTCCGCTCTTCTTGGGGTTTAGATTTCTAGGGCTGTTACATTCATAAAAAGACGAGAATCTAGGTTGTAGGTGAAGAAGTTATACCAAAATATAGGTTTTATGACAAAATTAACCTTTTATAACTGTCAAAACGCTCTTTGATTTTTTGATAAATGAAGTATTTTTGATAGCGATAAAAAGTTAATTTCTTCAGAAACCATGTGCATATTTTCGACTATTGTACTATCGTATTTTATTTACGACTTTTGTACTATCGTCTTTTTTGGATGTAAACGCCCTGGAAATCCAAGATTTTCGCAACGATGGGTAAAATTCTTTGTCAAAATGACAGCTCCGTTCTATCCAAGGTTTGGATTTCCAGGCCGGTTACACCCACAAAAACAAGCAGAATACAACATCCACACGAAAATACATACATGGATTTGTAAAGAAATCAACTTTTTATCCCTGTCAAAATATTTTATTTATATAAATAATTGTAAAAACAATGTATTTTGACAGCGATAAAAAGTTAATTTCTTCACAAAGTCAATATTTTCGTATGTCTTCTGTCTTTCCCACGTAAATTTTCGTCTTTTTGTGCTGTAACATTATTTGGAATCCAAACAGAACTCTCAAAATCCTGCTTATTTTGACACAATATTTTTTCCCTGCTACCAGAATACTTTCACCTCAAAGTGCTGCAGTATATAGTTACATAACATAACTAATATTAAGTAACTGCATTACGTTGAATATTTCAGTAGGAAAACACCCATCCATCCATAATCAAGCCCTCCCTCCTGTCACGCAGCGAGCGTTCGTCCTTCTCCTTGCATAATTTGTTATTATTATTGTCGTCTCCTATTCGACTTTAAATTAAATCCTGGGTGAGAATTATGTATGTATAATAAATATTCAATCCAATTCCATTCCTAAACAGCGAAATACATAAATTCTTCTACCTCAGAATTATCCAATCCACCCCATTTCAAACGAGGTTAGACTTGCTGGACGACGCGCATGCATTTTAAGGAGGACAGGACAGGACGTCCGTACATAAGTGAAAGGAGCACTTTGTGACGCAAGTATTTATGTTGTTGTATGTTGTCGTGTTTAGTTGGTTTGGGAGGTGAGGGAAAAGTGATAAACGAGGCAGAGAGATTTGTTCGCACAATTCAACAACACACCTGGGACTCGCTCGAGGAAAACATTTGGTGAAAGTGTGGCCTGTAGCGAAATGAAGGAAGTAATGCCATAGCTTTTGTTTCCTTATTCTTCTCTTCTCTCCGTGAATTGTTGGCAGGGGCAGCTTTCTTCCGCCTCTAACTAACCCGCATTCATTCGTATGTCCGTATGCAGAGAGAGACAAACAATCATCTCCTTAGTTTGGTGGGCGAATAAGAGAAAGCCAGGCCAACAATATGTTTATGCTTTGCAGAATTCTTCATATTTGAGTAAGTAATTTGGTCGTGATAAGAAAAAAAGAGGCAAATTAAGAATTGTTATATGTACCAAGAATTGTAATTACTAAATGCGTCATGCATTTTATTCATAAATGAATCGTTTCTTATTTTGACCGAGATCGTCATACTTTCACCTTTGGTTTCCCTCTTCTTCTCACCTTTGTTTCCTTCTGGAACAATAAGTCGAATTCATTCGTACATCCGACCGTATGCAGAGAGAGACAAACAATCATCTCCTTAGCTCGCTGGACTAAAAAGAGAAAGTCAGGCCAGCAATGTATGTATGTGTCTTTGCAAAATGCTTTCTACTTCAGGAAGTAATTCGGCTGGAGAATGGTGAATTCAACTGGATGAGAGTTCTCATATGCACGAAGGATTGCATGCAATTACTAAACGTGTCATGCATTTTATTCATAAATACGTTTCTTACTTTGACCGAGATGGTTGTGCTTTCACCTTTTGTATTCCTTATTTCTTCCTCAATGCATCCATGTCCGCGTGTCTTGCAAAATGCTTTCTATTCGAATAAGTAATTCCGTCTGAGTGCGAAAAAACGAAGCGCATTCACACCCAGTCGGATGAGAATAGTTCTTTTTACTCAACGTGTCATACATTTCATCCATAAATGAATCGTTTCCAATTTTGACTGAGATCGTTGTGCTTTCACCTTTTCTATTCTTCTCTGATTTGTTGGCAGGGGAAGCTTTCTTCTTCCTCTTACCCGCATTAGTCCTACATCTGTATACAAAGAGAGACAACCAGGCATCTCTTTAAATTGGACAAGAAAAAGAAAACCAGCCAAACAATACAGTCCTGCAAAATGCTTTCTATTCAGAATCAAAGTAATTCCGCCCTTGTTTTAGACAAAAACATTTGAATTTACACCCAGCCAGATGAGAATTTTTACACTAAGGATTGTAATTGCTGTACCATACAGATATTTTATTCATAAATACATCGTTTGCCATTTTGGCCGAAATCGTTGTGCTTTCACATTTTGTATTACTTATTATTCTCTTTTTTTTGGCAGAGCCAGCATTCTTCCGCCTTTAACTCGTATGTACAGAGAGACAAACAGTCATCTCCTCAGCTCGGTGGACTAGAAAGAGAAAGCCATGCCAACAATATATGTGTCTTGCAAAATGCTTTCTATTCGGGTGAGTAATTCGGTCGTGGCGAATTCACACCCAGCCGGACGAGAATTGTAAGGATTGTAATTAATTACTGTGCCTTACATACATTTTACTGAAATTCACAAATAAATTATTTCTTATCTTGACCTACATCGTTATACTTTCACCTTTCGTAATGCATTGTGTTTTTGTGTGGTAGTGGTGGTTTAATTGGAAAATCTTGCAAAATGTTTTCTATTCGGAGAAACAATTCTGCAATTGGCGAAAAATAATAAAAAAAACGAGGTGAATTCACACCCAGCCGGATGAGAAATATTACGCCAAGGTTTCTAATTACTAAATGTGTCATTTTATTCCAACATGCACATTCCACAATTGCTTTCACCTTTTGTAAAGCATTGTTATTTTTATGGTGGTGGTAGTAGTTTGATTGGAAGTAGAAGAAAAGGGAGGTGAAATTAAATCCATTATTTATTTAGCCTTTTGTACTGCAGCAAATTGAAAAATGTGGGTCGTCCTGTTTACTTAAATCCGCCCGCCTGTAGCATTCTTCTCGGACCTGACGTCTAAACTGATTGCACTTTAAGACTTTCTCTAAATGAGACATGTGGGACCAACAAATAGGAGAAAATGCTGTTGTATTAGTACCAACCACCATCTCGACGACTACCACCACCACCACCACCACCTTTACTTCTTCTGGGAGAAAGCATGGATTCTTCTTTCACCTGAAAAGAAACCCCCACGTGTCCCATCCATTGTTCATTTCAAGGTGGGCTTGTTTTAATTATTTTGTAATCCCCGGCATTAATAATGCAGTCTTTAGATACATAGATCGTCCTCCAGTTCAGTTGTGATGAATAAGTTAGCAGCTTGCAGCGAGGTCATGGGTCTAACTTTATCGGTGACATTTGTCTCCACGTCACTACTTTACAACTACTACAAGAGATCCATTATTGCGACAATGTCAAGGGATGCATGTCCCATTATGTAAACTTATTTAGAACATGAGAACAACGAGCAGGGAATGAAATGCCGACCTGGTTGTTCATCATAGGGACAAAGTTGGGTGGGTGAAAGCGGAGAAAGTTTAACTGCTGGCAGCACTTTTCAAAGTTGTGTGACGTAAAGGCTCGCTAAAATGGATTACAATTACAAATCAAATTGAACTTTATTTACCAACACTACACAAGAGAAAGTCTATTTGCATGCATGCATATCTAAATTTATAGAAATTACATACGTACCCAGCCCACAAATTATTCCCCATTAAAATTAAAAGTTTTTAGAACAGCGATTTGTAACTGTATAATTTGATCGAACCAATTGATAAAGAATTGAATTTTGTGATGAATAAGTTAAACGGAATGATTAAATTAAATTTTCTATTGTAAATATGTATGTATATAATTAAATTACATAGAAGTACATACTTACACACACGACGTACACATCGATTTTCTTATTATTATACATTAAACATGAGTAAATAGCTATTTATTGTATACAGAAAACGGACCGTGTAGGTAACGCCTGCTTTATTTACGTCAATTATTTTCTTTTATAAATCGCAAAGTACTGTTTATTATTATGAAAGAATTATCAGAATAGAATATAAACTCGAAATTTTTGGATATGCATAAACATTTTGTACAGCGAAAAACTACATAATTCTACCCGTATTAAACATGAGTAAACATAAAATCCCAACGCATTCCTACATTTCGTCTCGATAGAAGTACGTAAATGACTCAGAAATTTGAAACATTTTCAAAATTACTTCGTCTTCCATCCTTAATTTCTAGATTATTCTATTTACTCAATTTATCACTCTGCGCGATAAATTGTAACGTTTCAAATCCACTTTCCACTCTATCAAAATTCTGCTCGATGCAAATCAACCAAAATACTACAGATAGAATAACTAACTCGTTTCTGGAGGAGTATTTCATAACATTTTCTCAAAATTCTTACCACCATAAACCATTATCGCTTCAATATTATAGTAAAATTATGGGAAAATATGGCACAACCAAAACCTTACTGCATTCCGATCCGTGCCAATGTTCAGTATTTTTCTTACCACAAAGTGAAAGTTCAAGACGAGAATTATTAGAAAATTTGAAATCTCCAAATTTTTTAGACTTCAACCCAACCCTGATCATTTTAATCAACTCATTCTTCCAAGAAGAAAATGGAAAATCACTCCAAATAATTTTAGCAACGTCGCAATTCGTTCACGTGACTTCGAACTGGTTGCTTATCACTGGAAAGAACATTTCCCTCCTTTGCTTCCATTGTTCGTCTCAAACAACCACAAAAATTGAAAGTATTGAAGAAAATATCGTACAA